CCCTCTTTACAATAAACAAAATAAGAGGTTGTGTAACGAAATTTGGAATTTCCTTTTGAGCATAACAGAAAAACAAAATCTCAGGGAACATACATGTACATATATGTGGTTTAATCAGTAATTTCATTTTTCTGCTATTTTGTGTGAAAATAACAGAAATATAGTCAAGTAGCTGAAGACAGATTGACGATCTTGAACTTTTGATTGGCAGCAGTTGTAAAATGACTCCCCCCTTCAGTTAAGTCCCCTACACCTGAACAGAGTTTTCGACCTGGGCTTTGCTGTCAAGAGACAAAAGCAGAAGGTCAGTCACAAAGGGGCCATTGCTCCTGTGCCAAGTATCGGGTCTGGTAATGCCAGTTTCCTATGTTGTGATCTGACATACCCAACCCAACTACGAGTAGCTCAGGGCAGAACCAGTCTGAACCAGTCTGAACTGCATACACAAGGGGTACTCTGCATGGTTTGCTGTATTGAAATTGGAACGTTTTTTTCTCCAACATTGGAAAGAGCGTGTGAATCCCTCCAAAGAACTGGAGGTTTTTGAATGTCAACAGGTTAAATCTCATCTATGAAGAGAAGTGCTTGAAGTAGTCTCTTTCTCCACCCAATAAACAAAGTGTGAACTAAAGGCTCTACCTAAGTTTAACTGGGGATTACAGACTTAACAAATGAAGAATTTAGAGGTACATGTAAAAATAAACCTTACATTCCCAATATAAAATAACAACCCCTGCACCATAAAAGTCAAAAGTCATGATAAAATATTGAATCCCCCTCGAGCAGAAGTGCCCCCTCATGGGTTGAAACAGGTGTGTTGGTTGGAAGCGTTCAATTTGGTGCTGGTGATGTAACCATGACGCCTGCATTTCCTAGTCATTCATGAACTGGCGAAGTTTATTTGCTAAGAAAAAAAACCTTTCTTGGTCAAGCTTGAGGCCCATAAGCTCCTCTTCTTACAAAAGGGGCATCACTAAATTTATAGTCGGATTAATAAACTGATTATTCTACTGTTATTTCTTGGTAAAAAAGTAATTGTACATACATGTACATGTACCAGTGATTAAATCACAGTTGAATGAATTTAGTTTTGCAATGTATGCAGAGCATTTTGCTTGGCCTACCATTAATTGAAGATTTCTAACTTCTTTGAGTGTCCACATTCTGAAAATTTAAGCAAATTTGGTCCTGAAAAATTGGTTAATTTTCAAAAATCGGTTACAGCAATCATGGGAGAGGAAAAAATGTCAAAAATAAATGTTTACATATTGAACCTATTTTGTACTTCTTCTAGACCTCATTTAAATGGGGAATTCTGTTCAAAAAACGAAATTGAAAAAATATATACATGTATTCCTAAAATATAAGGTGAAAACAGTGATGATTAGAAATGTTCAGATTTGGTAAAAAAATAAAATTTTGTGTATGTATTATTTTCTATACTACAGGGAAAATTTTTGATTAATTTTATAATGTTACAAGTTACTGACATTACTCAGGGTCATTTTTAAAAAAAATCTTTATATATATATCAATATGTTTATATAGTGTAGGCCTTCATTTGAAAATGTTGAAAAAGCATATAATCCCGTTACTGAAAAAATGGCAAAAGTTACGCGTTTCACAAATTGTCTGTTTTTTTTTCTTCAAATCATATATGTTTAAAAAAGACCCTGTTATAAACATTACTGAAAAGCAAAAACTTTACAGTAATAATTTTTCAGCATTTTTCCAAGTGGTAATGGAATTACAAAACGGTAATGGAATTACGGTAACGGAATTATGCATGCACAAAGCATGCACATTTCATCCATATAAATGTACATGACATATCAAATTGTACATGTATGTAACCTTGGACAATATCCATAATACAAAAATTACTTAGTAACATTATTTCCAACTTTAATATGCTCTAATACATTTAAAAATAATCAGGTGTCCCACTAATATTTACATTACCTAGATTTGTACACACAGTCTAAAAGCTTAAGGCAAGTTAAGCAAGACATTCATGTAGCTTTGAGCTGTGAGTATGAGCCTACATGTATGCTAAGCCCTAGGCCAGGTTGGACGTCTGTCTATGTAATGTAGACAGACGGCCAACCTGGGCCAGCTCAGCCCATGCTTAACTCGTTAGTCGAGGTCATTTCTTAAGCCACACAGTAAATAGCAAAATCCTATGGCTATTATAACTCTTTGCAGTTTATACATAATCTGATAATAATGAAATTTTATTCATTAATGAAAATTCAGCCACTTTCTCAGTTCACTCACTTTAGTTACATACATGTACTAAGAAAAAAATACTGTTTGTGCTCCAAAAAATACTCGTTATTCTTTGTCACCTCTGCTTGCTGACCCGCTTGAAGTTTGTGGAAGTTGAAAAAGTGTTGTTTAAAACGTTGTTTTCTGTATAAATTCTTTAGCATATAAATTACATCTTATTTGACCATTTTTTACCTTTTGGAACATTACAATAGATCAATCCATTAAGCCCGCCCTTAATGTGTTGACCAATCACTGCCTTTGCTACGTGTATGCCACCACAAGGAAGCCACAGTAATCCTCAAGCACAGTGATGAGTAGGCAATCCTGACATTGGTCAATGTAAGGGGGTTGGGCTTACTGGATTTGGTCTATTAATTAGGCAAATTCCAAAATCTGCTAACCAACTATGTAGACATCACCATCCTGCTTTTATTTGTCCCTGACCTTCACCTTTGAGCTAAAATGAAGCCCAGATATGTTTAGACCTTGTAATTTTCACCTAGTTTTATCTTTGCGGCACCTTATAAATGACTGCAATTTGTATTGCGATGCATTTATGTTGAATTCAGTGTTAATGTATTGCCTTTACATATTAAACCTAATTTTTTGCATTTGAACATTTGAGTCCGTAAGTGTTTCAGCTTCCTGAATAGCTTTCTCAAAACGACGTGCCATGTCCACGGTCTTTTGAAGAGTCAGTTCTTTTTCCATGAGTAGCCTCTCTCGAATTTTGGGACTGTTCGTTTTCTCCACAACTTGGTCTCGTATCATTTCATCGTTCATGGGCCCAAAATCACATGTTTTCGAAAGTTCTCGAAGAGCAGACAAAAAATTGTCTATAAACTCACCAGGTTACGGAGCTCTTTGTCGAAATGTGTAGCCTTCAGCTACAACATTTACAGTTGGTTGAAAGTGTTCTTTTAGTACTTGGATAGTGTGCTCGTATACATTTGTACCACTTGGGGAGTTTCTCCACTTCAGGGTAATGTTGTATAGATCCGCTGACCCTCTACACCAAGGCAGTGAAGCAGAATTGCTCGTTTCCTCTTTGACGAAAATTCGTGTCCACCTATAGCAAGCAGGTAGTTTTGGAAACTGGCGATCCATTGCTACCAAAGAACGGCTGGTTCTCCTGCTTCTTATAGAAAAGGGGAGGGTTGAGTTAAGGAGCTTGCAGTCGCCATGGTCGTCAACCTCGTCGCCAAATATTGTATCGGATGTTCGAACTCAATAGAAAGGAATGAGCACAACTCAACAAACAGAATGAAAGGAACGCAGAGACCTAGTCTGCTAGGTTGAACTAAACTCAAACAAAATTGAATCATTTACACTTCTTCTTTTATACACTTGGACTGGCCGCCAACGCGGACCGATATATGCAAAATAGCCACCAAATTAACATAACAGTGGATATCACAGCAATTCCGTTACATTACCACCCAGGCGTAATTCCGTTACCATAATTAAAATGCAAATTATGAAAAGAGTGATTAATTTTTCAACTTTGTTCTGCATTGTAGTTAACAACTCCCCTGAACTCTACAAATAACAAGCAGTGTCCAATTTTAATATTTCAAAACTTCAGAGAATGTTATTAATTTATGCGAGAATTCAAATATGCTTGTCAGCCGGCCGTAATTCTGTTACCAAATTTAAGGTCTGCCCCTGAAAGGATATTCTTGTGGGATTTTCTTTTTTAATTCAATCAATTTTATTGGTCTGGGCTCCCTATCCATGTTACATGTAGATTATTTGCCTGGCATCGAACATATTTCCTTGGGAAAGAATAATCCTTGACAAAGTGACAAATTTGCGTAATTCCGTTAGGGAAGAATTGCCAAGGTAGAGTTTTTCTTTGGAGTTGTTTGATTGAGGAGGTTTTGCTGCCCTCTGCTGTACTTGTAGTTGGAAAGGTTCATTGAACGTCTTTCCTAATGCACAATTAGGGTTGATGTCATGCTCTTTTCTATTTTTTGCACGGGGTAAGAAAGTACTGAAATTAAAATAACTCAAGTGCGTATACATTACATTGTAATTTATACTTGCACCTATGAAAGGTATAAGGCATCCTAGAAAGCCAAGTGACTTGTGCGGCATTTGTGCATAGAAATGTGTTTTGTAGGACATTTCTGTTGTTGACATAAGGTAGACTCCCAGGCCCTGGAGATAGATACACACCTGACCACTACAGGTGCCTTCAAGACATTCCCATGTGTCATTAAGCTTTTGAGGTCGTTCAACTTGGCTTTGTGCTTACTCATGAAGTGGTCATTAACCTGTGATTCTAGTGTCAGTCAAACCGCGAATTTCATAGACTACAGCTGTGATTTCAAGACAAAAAAAAATCGGTGGGAATCAGAGATTGGGTGGGAGGAGATCAAACTATTGGTTTGAAAAACTTAGCCGGAATAAGTCCCTGATAGTTCTAAAATTTTGGGCAGAGTTTTGCCAAACTTTATTGAAGAAAAACAAGTTGAGATAGATCAATTTTGGTACAGTATTTTTTTTATAGATGGCCCATTTTTTAAATCAACATTGTACACCACAGGATGTTGGGCCAGTTTTAGCAGATCCTAATATTGAAAAAAAATTTGAATCTGCCTCTGAAATCGACAACCAAATGGAAGTAAATACCAACTGGTCCTTTCACGTCGAAAATGGTACAAGAAGGTCTCAGGATGTATGGAGAGTTTTGTTGAAAGTTTCCTTTTTTTAAATCAAATTCGTAGATATGACTGCCGGGGTCATCTGCCGAGTCTTTCCGAGCATCAGTCAGGTTGGGTGGACAGCCGACGTCCGATGCTGACCGCCGAAGAGGAGAGGATCGAGGCGCTGTGTGATGAGGAGCGCTACATGGCACTGCACAAAGACATGATGGAGGAAGAACAGCGACAAGGTATTTATTTGTTGTGTGGGGAAAACAGACGGTGTGTTTTCACACAGGAGCGATGATCCCATGGTGGGAACTTATGGCATGCATGCACAAGGTCATGCGCACTTGAGTTAGTTGGCACTGAACATGCACAAGTAATTTACATTTGGAGGTATGGTTTCAACTGTACATGTGTCCTAGGTGCCTAAATGAAATGATTCACATCAACCTGTTTGTTCTTTGAATGTAGAGGGTTATTTCAAGTCGGAGCCATGGACATCTTTAACCCAGAAACAACATTTAGATACTCTTACGTTGTGAGTTTCTTGCACCAAGTCAGGCAGCGTCATATGGCGGTTTTATCACCCTGTTTATATTGGCATATGAGCATAAATATGTTAAGGTTTTGAATCATGCACCTACTTGTAATCAACATGTTCTTCAAGCTGAGCATTTTGATGACAGTTTTGCAAACATGTCTTGGTTAAAGTTAAGATGTCTATACCGGTGCATGGAGCAGAAGTTTGTTTTAATAGCAATCAAATCTGAATATACTTTTTTCTTTCTGCCTGTATGTCGCCGTCAGTTTCTCTTCTTTTTTTTTGCCAGTCTATTGACTGGCAAACTGACTTGCTGTAGTTAATGGATTTGACTACATGTACCAGTGTTTCTCACAGAAATGTTAGATGAAATGAAAATAATACTTCTTTTTTTTTGCCGGCAGTATCCTTTTCAGAAAAAACTAGTGTTATTCAATTATATTATACCACCACAGCACTTATATTTGAAGTACTAACTCTAAGTGCATCTTTGTTAACCTCAAAGTAATTTCATTTAAAGTTATATTCCTCTGCATTTTTTCTTGATATCAACACATTGTGTACACACTCTCAGAAATAAAACTGTCCTTTTCACTTCTATTTCATGTGCTGTATATTGTTATACAGGACCATATTAATGTGTACTGAATGACTGAACCACACAAGGCTCCTGACAACCACTGTGTTGGTCGGAAAATACTGTTGACGTTTTGACATACATGAACATGCATGTTTACTTCTTGCACAAAAAAAGTTAAAAATCCAAACTCCCTCGAACAATGTTTTAAAAAGCTTCAATGTAACCAAAAAAACTACCACTCACTGAGAGCTGGCAAAGTTCAATGTTGAAGTTTCAATCCACAAAACCTGTTCAGGCGGAAAATGATCGCCGAAGGTCCCCCGTACAGTCCCAGCACCTGATTTGTGAACAATGGTTTTTAAGGCCACACTGGGGCGCCCGACACATGGATTTTTTTTGTTTAATTTGTACCAACTGCTGACAACTGGTAGTACCATTGTTCCGTGGAGACAGTTGGAGAGGGTATGGGTTGATGCAGGAGTACAGTACATGTATCTGTTCTTTGACACAGACATCATTATTATTATTTTTTTTTTCCCATTCCCACAGCTCACAGCACTTTTCATAGAGCTTACTAATCCAACTGGATCTCCGGGAGTCATTTGTGTTCAAAGATTTTTACCCTGTCTACCCCCCAGGATTGTCTTTGCCAAGCTGCATGTACATGTACAATGTATGCAACTTCTTTCAACATGAAGGCCTTGGTGCCTTCAATGCAAACTCTGTACAGAAAGTACTGTTGCCCTTTTGGCAGCACTGACGTACATGTATCCTACACACACAAACAGGGAAGTTGCTTCAACACCTTGCATGTATTGCTCCCTGCACATGTACATGTACAGTATGTTTCCTCAATGGTGATTAAGTATTGGAAAATGTACCAGCACATGTGCATATTACTAGTAGCTCGTTGTGTATCAACAGCCTCCTCTGACCTCATTTAAATTGTTGCATTTTTTTCCCCCTTCCTTTTTCGGTTTGCTCTTTTGTTATGTTCTGAACCTGTAACAGGTTGTTTAAGGTTTTACTGTTTTGTCGGGAAATATTCATGAAGTTGGAAACTGTTCAGGGGAACTCGACCGGGTATATACAAATTATGTCATTGCCCAGGCAAGTGCACACCAATTTTTAACGCTGTAATCACGTAATGTACCAGTACATGTACATGTAGGTCGTGTTGGGTTGGAAATTTCCACTGGATAAGTCGGCCTAGAAATGATTGTGTTTTCCCTATAATATTGTAAAAATTAAAACTTATAAAAGACCTTCCAGGCATTAGAGCATTCGTCTCCAATATTTGGTTCCAACAGATGATTTTTTTACAGATAACCAGAGCTTTTGAACAAGTACAGATATGTGCATGTACAGTGTATCTGTAAGTGCATTGTACAGTACAGTGTACCATACTGTATGTACATTTCATGTAATCTACTCTAGCAAATTATAAAGACCTTGGAAAAACCATTCGGGAGAAAGAAAAAGGTTTTGCCAGTTAGCAAATACCGGTATGTTTGCATTTGTATGGTTGGCATTCTTCCCAAATAACTGGATGTTTTGTTGTTTTTTTTATTTTTGTTTGATGGGATTGAATTGGGTCGGGCCCAGTCACTTCTGATCGACCATATGCTTGATGTTATGAGTCATTGGTTTTCTGCGCAGTGGAGAAATTTGGAGGATTCAGGACCATTGTGAGAAAAAAAATACTCTTGGTAGTAGTCGATGTTAATCTTGAAGTCTGACATTGTTTAGGTCACTTGTACATGTACACTGTACTACGAGATTTGAGAACTATTGTACAGTACACTGTACATGTATGATGTGTTCAAGCCCTTGCCTTCCCAGGCTACGTTACAGTAGTAGGGCATTAACGTAATAGTTCACTGGCAGGTTCACCAAAAGGTTTTTGGCACCAGTTCCTGTGCAAGGAGCTGCTTCTACTGCTTCTGCTGTTGTTGTGTTGATAGCTTCCTCCAGTTGGCTCACCGGTCACCCGGCCGCTTGACATTTCCTGTCTGTCTGGGATTGTTGATGGGGAACCGGGAACTGGGGAGTGCGGACCTTAGATTGCAGAGGGGTTAATCGCTTAGTAGTTGAGAATGTAAGAAGCAAATTTGAATATTTGAGTTCATGTCAACAGACTATGGAATCAGCCAGCTGCAAATTTAGATGTGGTGTATTGCATGGTAATCAGTGAGAAATGAACTGCGAAAGCTAGTTAATGACTCTCTTATACACTGTACACAAATTGTAATTTAGTTTTTGCTTACTACTCACTGGTAGGGTTTGTTCATTTAAACCAAGGTAATATGATTCAGTTTTTAATTGCAAAGTGGAAATTTTTGGATATTTCATCCAAATGTACAATACATTTCATTTCATTCCAGAAAAAGTTTTGAATATTGAACGAATTTTTCACCAAAATAAATATTTTGAGAAAAAGTTTTCTAACCTCATACTGTATTTCTGAGACCATTTCCCTTGGTTACATATATCATACATGTACGTTGTACCTGAGAATGCATGTACTTCGCCCAAGATCTGAAATTTGGAATCTCACAAAGATTAAGAATCCATTGATGAAAACATGTAAGGCTGATCATGTACACGTAAAAAAGGTTCCTTGAAGTCAGAGTTTTTCAACCTGGAAATAGGTCGTTCAGATTTGTCAAATTGGAAAACAGCATGAAAAAATCCCAGCTTTAAAACGCATTCAGAGTACCACACTTTACAAATGCTAGGTATGCACAAATTACCAGTACAGTACATGTACATATACACGTACTGGTACATGTGCATTCAAGATGAAAACAGAGCTGTGGAACTCTTCATGGATTTGTCATTTTATGATGGTTTTTGCTTTTTTGAATCCGTTGGACATTTACTTAGTGTGGGTGGATGTCTTTGACATTAATAGTCCCGTTGGTTGCCTTGAGAAGTGTGTATCCAGGGTCCAATTTAATTTCAGAGGTACCTGGTACCATATGTGCAGGATGACCTCAGTGTTCCACAGTCCTCCCACTAGCTTCATTTAAAAATTTGATGGAGTCGTAAGTCCTCCAAAATCCTCTTTTTTTTTTCTTGCATGTGCACCTCGAAGGGATGACCTCTGCCTAAGCCCTTCGAAATCCTCTGGCAGTTCCATTCAATATGTTCATGCAGTGCGAATGATATCCTGGAACAGTGTGGATGTGGATATGTAATCCATATGTAGACCTGAGGCCCCCCCAAAAGTCTCCTGTTTCTGGTCACCGCGCATGTCGCCGCCGTAAACCTGCATGGGCAAAATAAAGAATTTTTTTTTATTTTGCATAAAATGATTTCCAAAAGCCACCAAACTTACTTGATCGGCAGGAATTCTGCTATCGCGTAATTTTAATGTGTTGTCAATGGGTGGGGTGGAGTAATATGTACGATAAAGGAATCCCCGGGGCCTCCATACATTTCAGTGCGGCACTCTTACCAGATGACGTCATTCATGTACCGGGGTATCTTTACACAAACACGAGCTGAACATTTTTTTCACATTTAATTTTTCCATGGTTGTGATACTGTATTTTAACAAGCTCAATCTTGCCAAGAATTGAAGCCTCTTGTTTGAGTGAGATAACTGAAATCATCGCTTCTCGTCTTACGTTCTGGTCTTTTTATTAATTCAAAGTTGTTAATTCACACTTCTCATACTTACAATGCCATGCGCTCTAAAGTATATGTGCATACATGTGCATCACTTCCAAGGCAAAAAAAAAAACGTATCACCGCACCACTTTTGGACCAAGCCTGTGACAAGAAACCGGAGTCTCTTTTTTTGGGGGGGGCCTAAATTTATGCATAACCGATCATTAACAACACAATGTCTGACTCAAGATCTGTACACAGTACATTTTGCATACCGCCTTCACAAAGGTTGAGATTAACAAACAACCATGTGAGTTAGGCCTCATATGCTTTTCTTTCAGTCAATTGAGTTATTTGTTATAATTCAGGGATGTCATTTTTAATTTTTTTTTCCAGGAAAAGCTTGATTTCGTTCAAGCTTTTTCATATAAAGTGATGGACTAATTTCAGGTCTGAACAGGATGTATATGTTAGGTTTCTCTGGCCACAGTTTCAGACTTTTCAGACCCTGAGAAGTGCTTGTCTCATCTTACAAACAGGTGCAATACTGATGCTGGTGTGCTGTGGAGAATTGATACTGCTCAGTGCTATATGAGCGAAATGGGTCAATGTTCTCGCAGAACTACGCAGCAAGTCAATGGAATTTTATTCTCCTTCTGAACTTTCTCATTCCCTGGCCTCATTGGAGCCAATCTGGAGGGGAAAGGCCTAAGAGGGGCATGAGAGAAAGGCTGTTATGGGGTTTTCATTTTCTTTCTAAGAAAAGCTTGTAAAAAGCTCAAAACAGAGCCTCAACTCTTATAAAGACCATAAAATGTTACATCAAATTCCAATTCTACTCCCCCCACAAAAAAAATGTTTCCCCAATAATCTTTGGTTGCACAGTAATGTCTTAATTGTAAAAATCATCTTGTGAAAGGAGTACGGTAGTGACAGGGTACCAGCTGTCATTCAAATCACAAATATTTACTGGGACAAACATTGAGTACAATCCTAGTGAGGGAGGAAAAATTGCATGTTTTTCCCTCATGTACCACAGCATTTAAAAGTTACGTGTACATGTATGTTTCAGTGATTGCAAAACTGCATTTATCTTAAACTTTGCCTGTAATTTCAAATTACTGGAATCCTGAATGACATCACTGTGCCAGCATGCACCGATGCATATATAAATGTATACATGGACTACTTGGCACCAGAGAGTGGCATTGAGTCATCCTCTGACCAGACATATCAACATTATACTGTACATGTACATGTCACGGTAGCTTTCTTTAAATTCAGCAAAATAGCACGGTGTTGGATGTCCATATACGTGCACATGCAAACTTAAACTTAATTTGACCTGAAAAATTTATATACAGGACATACATGTACATAAGACTTTTTCCTGGAAGACATCACGGCCCAACACTTGCAAGAGCCTTTTTCTCTGTTAATTTTCCTGTAAGTAGGGTGAAGCATACTGTACGGATAGAGTGAATAATTTACAGCCCAAAAGTCAAACTCACTTGATGAATGACCTCCAAATGACCTCCTGATTACGTCGATTAAAAATTTAAGAGAAGCATTACCCGGACAAAATCCTGTATTAGTTCCTTGTTGGAAGATACGGTGGGTGAAATTAAATTTTAACAATAATAGCTTTGGGCATGATTTGTTTACTTTCAGTTGGTGGTGTTTGGAAGCAAATTGAAAGTACAATACGGCACAGACAGACAAACATCCACAGACAAACAAAATTAAATTTTTATGTTTTCTTGATCGTAGAACTTTTAGCTATCCTCTGATGTTGGATTTGAGGAACTCGTTTTTCTTGTTTTTGAAACAAAAACAGCCCCGAAGCTGACTCCTAGTGCACTCCTTTGTTTCAAAGGGTGGGCAGGGGCAGAAAATAAGTGAAACAAGACCAAGTTGAACTGAAATGTGAAGCCAAATGTGTGTCTTTACATATAAATGTTTGAAACTGACTCTTGAATATTAGACAAAGTAAGAGAAGGAACGTTGGGATGTCAAGCTGAGATTTTCCAAAAAAGATGTTAGTATTGTTCAAGATAAACTCTCCTGTAGCTCCAAAAATAAATCTAGGATGGGTTATTTGGAATTAAACATTTATTCTCTTCCTGTTCCATGGACGTCTGTCTTCTGTGCTCAGATTTTGATTTTGTTATATAGATGTACAACTTTTCAATTAAAAAAGGCATTACTTGCCTGGCTTCACAGAGACACTAAGCAGAAATAGTGCCTAACAAATTTATCAGCCAAGAACCTGATGATAAATTGCTGTGTTTGGCAGTTTCATGGAATTTTCTCTATTTGTCAAGCTGCTTTAGCTTTCTAAAAATCTTACTGTCTGTTAGAATTTGGCTGAAGGGAGTTTTTGTTGTTTCAAGGATGCAACATTATGTCCTGTGGTTTGATTCTCATTCTGTAGCAGTACATGTGCACGTACCGGTAGGTCACAGTTAGTAACTAATTCAGGCAGAATTCTGGTCGTGCTGGCTCTAGAAACCTGTCCCCTACCCCATCACCCAATCGCCTTCACACTATCAATCTTTTTGCATCATCATTGATGCTGCCATGGCCATTTTCGAGCTACAAGCCCCTTCGTCTCTCACTTTGTCTCTCACTTTGTCTCGGATCTGAGTGAGTTTATTATTAATGCGTGGTCTCCTCTCTCCACTGTTTGTTTGTTTTTTCCCTCTCTCTCCTTGCAGAGGAAGAGATAAAGAGGTTCAACATGGCAATCGCTTCGTCGGACAGCTCCTTCAACGAGGTGGCGTTTTCCTATGATGAAGGCAAGGACGAGTATGATCCCATGAGACCAACAGAAGATGGTAAATGCTCCTAAGGCCCCCAATCTTCTTAAATGTCGCACTTGTAGCATGTCACCAGAATATGCGTGACTCTACCTTACAAAATATGTTGGGTCACATTCATGAGTTGCTTCATGTACATTACAAGTAACTTTTGAGTTTAATACAGGCCCTTAAAAGCTACATGTAGTTTTACGTCACTGCTAAATTACCCAATCATGACCCAGGTTTTATTTTGTTTTCCCTTTTGTAATTAAAGGGGTATGTGGTCATGATGCAGACGTATTCATGGGACTGCTTGTCAAAAAGATATTAAGAAGATTAACACCAGGCAGTGGTGGTGCCATTGCAGTGTTTAGTTTTTTGGGGGGGGGCTATTGCAATCAAACTTTGGGGATGTCCAGAGGCAGAATTTTTTTAATGATGTGCTTGAAAAAAAGGGACTGCTACATACAAGTATATGTAAGAGAAGTGACTTAATAGGCCTAAGCAGGAGCATGCAGTCATGAACGGTTGTTTTCCTGAATTGCATTCTGTCATTCGCAAACCACAAACTAAAAATAAAATCTAAAAATATATTCAGCGATATTGTGGCACAAAAATAATGTCGAATGACGTCAACCTCTAAGTCTTGTCTAAGCCTGTCCCCATCTAGCTGCTTTTTTCAACCTTTTGAAATTGAATCAATTTATTTTTTACTCCACAATGGTTGCCCCTACTAAGGCACACTGTCCATAATTTTGTTCACAATTATTGGTCAAGTTTGCAGCCCTCACAAAAATGCACAATCCATTTTCTTTTTGTCTTTGCAGTTTCTCTGCTTCAGCTGTCGATATTTTCATTTCGAGATTACTCTTCCAGTGCTAGGTTTTCAAAATTTTCAATCAAGTTTTGAAAATGATTCTTGTGATGCTTGTTTCTGTGGCAGTTGGTGATGTAATGCAAAAACAAGTTTATATTTTATTGTTGCTTTGAATAAGCCCCTCCATCTTAGGAACAGGACAGGAAGTTTCATTCGACAATCAGTCAAGAAATATCCTGCATCCCTTCTTGTGCACTGTTTATCATATACATGTACATGTACTTGCTCTGGTTGCCATCACAGGCCAGAAAGGAAAGGGGCTTGCGGTCAGAGATCAGAGCCAGGCCAAATGGGGGCAGATTCACACTGGGTTCATGCATGGCTCTTGACTTCTGACCCAGGGGTGGGGATTGGGGAGAAGGTTGGAAGGGGCACCTGAGGGTATTGAAACTCTTTAAAGTGTGTCTGGCGTGTTGATAGAGAGGTCAGTGATGGTGCTCCTAACTGTTCATCAAATGTGCAGTGAACAGTAAGTCATAACCATGGCCTTCAACTTGAAAAAACGTTTGTCCATAAGAAATACTGCTCATTGCCAGAAACAAGATTGGTTTTGTTATGCTTGGGGGTCCATTCATTGCTTGTGTAAAAGTACTTGTACGTGGAAACCCACTAGGACAATGCTGACACTTTCACAATACTGAAGACTCGGGAGGTCATACTAAATACAGGTACATCAGCCAGCATATCATCTGCTATTATCTCTCCAAATGGTGTTCTCTGAAGCAATAAGTGTTGAACAAACTTCTTTGCTTTTCCACAGAATAAACAATATTATATCATTGGCACATGTGAATATTGAGCATTACTGTACTTACGCATATGTACCTTATGCATGTCTAATCCATCATGAGTTCTTTCTTTAACTGTTATACAATATTTTTGTGTACCAGCTTGATGTAGAAATTCACCTTCTGCTCCTAGTCCTACATGTATCTGTTCAATAGCTCCTCTGCCCTTTCCCTTTAAAAAGAAGTAGAAGTTGTCCAGGAATTTTCTTTTTTCATTGTGTCTCTGACTTAAAGTTTAAATTTTATTTATTTTGCAACACTGTTGTATTCCGGTCCAGCACAAGTCCTTTCAAAAGTCCCTTCACAAGGCCAGTCATAAGTAACAGGGTGAACAATGACAAAAGAATGCTTATGTCACAGCTCATCTGAATATGGTTCCTTGTAAATTGGCTCAAGACTGAATGACTTGTGATGGACTTGTGATGGACTTACAGGGACTTGCATTGGGCTCAAATACAACACTGTTGTGTAAGGTTAGATGGTAGTGCAACCAAAACTCCAATGTTGTAAAGGTCAAAGAGGTTTGTTTGTGTTGTTTGTCCACAAAGTTCTCAGGGGCCTGTATTAGGGAGGTCCTTTGGGGGGACAATATTTGGTAGGCACTCCATGCTATCTAACCACAAAATCTACTGGAAGTGCAAGGTACACCACTCATTTCTCGCTGGTTGGGTTTGGAGCAAACAGGAATCAAGGTTCTTATTTGGAGCACACACACGTGTACATGTATTTTTCAAATTCAAACTTGAATCATGATTGCTGATGTACATGTTTATAATAATAATTATTGAAAATTTATCATGCGCCGTTTCCATAAAAATGATCAACGGCGCAGTACAAGTCGATTTAAAAAATGTTTGTTTAAAATGAATGCTTATTCAAGAATTACAGCTACATTTACAAATGTACATGTACCTGTATCAGGAAGTAGAACAAGTTGAATGTTATGTGAAATATAAGGTGGCCAAATGTCAAATATGTTTGGTTTATCAGTCTTGCTAACCCCAAAATCACTGAATAAAGTTTTTAATAGGTTGACCAAATACTTTTATCTAATTTTAGCATCAAACCTGGTACCAGATACGTATGAGTGTATTTTCAGGAAAATATTGGCAAAGTACAAGCCATCTGGTATTTGTATAATACGTCAAAAAATTGTACACCGGTAAATTTGACAGTTGACAGAGATTTTTAAAATTATTTCTTGTTAAATCTTTATTGGATATTGCATTTACTTTGTCCTTACCGGTACTTGTTCAGAAGTGTAACCTCCTCCTCTATACAAATGAACGTAAACTCTTGCTTCTGTCACCCAATCCAGAGGAGCAGTTTCCCAAGACTCCACCCAAGTGTAAATCACCGGAGCCTGAAGAACCTTTCATTGCTCCAGCTGAGATGAACATTCCCATGGGAGTGGAAATGGTAATAGGAAAAAGAGACAACACCCACCTCCACAAAACTCTAATGCTTTTATAATTTATTCATGAAGCAGCTGTTGCTTGAAAGCATTTGGTTCCAGTTGGGCACTTTAAACAATTGCCAAAGTTTCAGCTAAATGCAATTTTTCGGGCACCCCGTCAGTGTACTAGGCCTACTTGCTTCTTTGCTACATGTAGGTGCAATATTTTCTGACTGATTTGCTGAGGATTAAAGCCAAAGTTGTGCATGTGTTAAAAAGATAGCCTGAACGTTTGACATAGGATGGCCAAGTTCAAAATTTTGCTTCCAAAGAATGAATACCACTTACTAGCTATATCATTTATGTTAGATATCGGCTGATGACCAAAGTTCTTGAAACTGAAGTCTTTACCAGTACTTTGAGCATATGAACAGGTTGGTGAAAAAGGGAAAAGGTATAGGCATTAGCTCTTGTTATTCTGCCTGAAACTTACTCATGTATATGAGAGTGGGAACTAGGTTGATATCAAAACAATTTCCGTGACCAAGAGTTTTTGAAGTGGGGCACAGTGCGCGCACTTGGATGCTATCAGTGGAAGACCAATAATGGGATGACTTTTGAAAGGTCAAACTTGTATTCATCTACTCTGAGTTGTTACTCGTTGCCAGCTCGTAGAAATGCTCAGCCCTGTCCGATAACAAACTGCTGGAAGAGGTTTCTCCCAAATGAGGTTTCAAGTTGTTATGGAATATATTCATGCTTTCTGGGCCCATTTTCAAGCCACTGAATGTTCCTTGCAGTAATGAAAAAATATGTCTAAATGCATGTTGCAAAGCAGTTAGACAAGTGGTAACAAATTACATCCAATAATGATTAAAGGATGTTTTCATGAAGACCCCTCTCCCATTTCAGCTTCACAGGTAAATTTCTGTGCCTTGTACTGTACATGCAAATACATTGACTGAGGCCTTGAATGAGCCCATATGAGAAAACTGTTGTCCTGAATATTGGTTTTAGACCTTGTTCGTGACTCGGGCCCAAGTTCATAGAGGTGCTCAGCAAGGAAATTGGTTAGAGGGTTTGCATGCACATGTATGTACGTGTAGTTAGTGAAAATCAGCTGAGAACAAATCGTTAGTGGAACACAGTCTATGACATTTTAGCTGTCAAGCCAGTTTTGCTGAGCATATTTTTCTGTACTTACCACATTTGTGTTTCAAGATGCTCTGTGAAGTGAGCAAGCATGGTACATGTATTTAAGAAAAAACCAAGGTCATTTAAGAACAAAGCATGCTTGTAGGACTTTGTACAACCATGTAACAGGCCATGTGCACACATATTGCTGTTCTCGAATGAAGATGGGCATGTTTCATTTTTGGCACACTCCATTGATATACTGAACTGGCTTGTAGGACCCCGCTCTTAGAAGTCACACTTGCCTGTGTTCAAGAAGGACACCATATGCCAAAGCAGCAAGCTGGTATCTTCAGAATCTTCCTAGGCTGTAACCAATTATACTTAGCTGTGGCTGACAGCAGGGCACACTTCTATCAGAAACTTGCAGCTGCTAGCCAGCTGCCTGGCTTCCTTAGTTGCCTGTGTTATGTTGAGCCAAATTACTTTCTGAATGTGGCCTTATATTATGGTGAGCTGTTTTGGCCACTCATCAATACTTTTTTTGGCCATAATGTTCTTAAGAATCAGAATTGACATTTCATTTGTAAATGAAAAACAGAACTCTCACGTGCCATTTAATATAGTCAACACTTTTAAGAAGAGTTGTGGCCACTACCCACTGCCCCCTTTTTTACATGTACATATTCTTGATTTCGAATTTCTATGTCAAAACATTTTCCTCCCATCTTTTCTTCCCACAGCCGGGGACCAAAAAGACCCACAAGTTCATGGAGAAGACAGCCCGATTCATCCTGCGTCAGGGGGCCCAGATGGAGATCATCCTCAAGACTAAGCAGGCCAACAATCCCCAGTTTGACTTCCTCCACTTTGACCACTACCTCAACCCTTACTACAAACACCTGCTCAAGCTCATCAAGAGTGGCAGGTACAAGGGACTTCCTGAAGATCAGGAGGAGGATAACCACAAGAAACAGGGTAAAGGCAGGTTATTAATCAGTTGCGTGATGGTGAACGCCAGACGCTGACGATCATTGAACGCTAAAGCTTTTTGGGGCAGTGTATAGTCGTCACTTGACATTCGTGCATAAAGCATGAAAAATGCACATAAAACGCGCCATCAGGTGTGACAAGCATGCATGGACTGACTCAGTCATGAAATGTCAGGTCAGCAATGGTATCAAATTTAAACTACATGTATTCGAATTTTTTACTGGTGACGCCAGTGCAACTGTTGCCTTCAGTTTGAAATTTTACACGTGCTTCTTTTTTACCGGGAAAAAAAATTCAGGAAATATCTTTCCTTTTTTAAGTTAAATTTTACTGCCAAGTTGAGACAAATGTCAAGTTTTTTTGTCTACGTACAGGTGGGAACAACAGGGTAAGGAAGCACAGTAACCATAGCAGCAGTGGTGGAGATGACGACGATGACGACGATGATGATAATGATAACAGTGGTTACTTACACCCCAGCCTCCTGGGCAGGTCGAGGCCAAAGCCCACACCTATGCAGGCAGGGGTAGGTATCACAGTCTGGATAAGACAGGAATCTTGAATGAACAACAAAGCATAATGATGTCGTGTTTGGGTTACATGTACATGTACGCTTGCCTATGGTAGTGACGTACATGTACATGTAGGACGCAATTTATCGAGCCCTTGGACACCTTGGAGTTGCTCTGAAAGGATTAAAATGATACTGCTTAAATGTTTCTTGAAATACATATCAGCGTATGTAGTTGTATATTTTCATGTGTGAGCAATGTTTTCAGACAGTGCTATTTCAAAAGGTGCGGATTTCATTGAGAAAAGTATGAGAGAGGTCAGTTTAGAGTGTTGTTTGTTCAGTGTACTGTGTAGCATACACTGCTATGTGGTAATGATAAGAAAAACAATTTTTTAAAATGCATGGTATTTCAAAATTTTCAGTTGAATGGGTACAAATTCACAACTTGTTTGAGTCTGGGCTTTACAGCAGATGTGGCTATCAAGTGCCTGTCATACTGGCATTGTTTTGTACCTCTGCCACTGAGCAAGCGATAAGGGCACAGATTTGCATAACATTCAGTTCAGCTCCTCAATAACTCAACTTGATCGTTTTCGGTCTGTTTTTTCCCATTCCAGACAACAACCATCCAGACATCTACCTCTGTCCCACTGGCTTCCTCTTACCATCATCCCCCGATGGATTTCAGTAAGCCGCCCCCTGTCATGGGGTACCACGACTCCAACATCCTGCCGCCCGCTGTTGACCCTTCGTTTGTGACTCCCTCGGGATACTATGACCAGTCGGGGGTCTACCCAATGTTCCAGCCTCCACCTCCGCCCCCTCCCTCCGGTAAGTGGAACATGCCTTGGAATATACAGGGAGCCGGTTAGATGGTTTGCGGTATGATATCCCCCATCATGGAGCATCAAGGCTATAACACACAACTGTCATTCTGCTCTGGGTATTTGTCCTGCAGAGGCTCCAAAATGCCTGAATATTGAGGAGCAGTTGTCTATCCACTCTGCCCTGAGCAGGAGCATTTCCTCATTGGTTGAAAAAAGCCATGTTGGTTGGAAGTGCTCATTTTTCCAAGGATGGATTTGCACTGGGGAGTGCTCATTTTCTTGGTAGCAATGCGATTGCAACACCCGCGTTTGATAGTCATACATGAACTGGTGATGTGCAGTTACTACCAAAGGAGCCTCCGTTGCTAAGAAAATTGGTTCCTAGTGAATCATTCCCGTTTTCATAGTTAGACCTATGTACTGATGACACCACACTTTGTATACATCTGTGCTTTCCTATGGCACTCAGTGGACTGTGGGGTCCCCACTAACTCCCAAGAAAATGCACATGTAAACATCAGTACTGATACAGTCAGTATGCTGACCTACTGGTGCTCATTATCTAGGAGCCAGTGAACATCTTGGCCTTTTGTGCCAACAGGGAGCTGTACAAATGAATGGCTTTACTGGGTAGTGGAGGTATTAGGGTTAAACAATGGAGATCAGTTATATGCAACATAATCTCATTATTCCCTATGGTAAATGGATAATGCCTCAGCCGTGATGTCCAGTGGACATTTGAAGCAAGATATGAGATGGAGAGAACCCCCCCCACCTTGGTGTTGGTCATTGTTTGATCGGAATCATAGGAATTCTTTACAGACCTCTAGGGGGATGTGTTAGGTAACAATAGTCTAGAGTGTGTATAGGGATTGGACAGGTAAGGGGGGTACCCCTCCGTCCCATATCTTGCCTGGTATACTAGTGGAAGCTGCAGGAAGTATTGTTTGCCAAGCTCCTACTTTGATGTTAATCTGATTGGGTAATAGACTCTACCTTAATGTCCCTATCAGCCAGGCTGGGTGACCTCTTTCAAATAAATAGAATCAGCCTTTTCAATTGGTTACACAGCGGCAACTCTTCTTACTACCGGGAACCCTAGGTTTTTGGTGGTTAAATAAATAGCTATGTTGTCCCTTATTGTCACTTGACCAGAAAAAAGTGCATTTGCAACTCGCCTTGATAAAGAATAAAGCAACATTAAGCAACATTTTACACATTTTTTTAAAAAAATATTTAATAACATGAAAGAACCATGTTTCTCTGGTTGCTTTTAGTAATAGAATCTCCCTTTTTATCTTAAAGATGCAGGGGCAGCCTTATCACTACCAACAGTGCCACCACCCCACTTCTCAGGGGTTGACCCTGCCTACGTCCTACCTAATCCCCCTCCAAGCATCCACCCCGGGCTTGGTCACCCCACCCTGGGTCTGGATCCTAGCGTACATGTACTACCTCTCCAAGAATCGCCGTCAGTGCCCCCGACTGCTGCCGGGCCGATGGGCTCGATACCTTCGGCTGACATTAGGTAGGGGTCGGAAATCACTATTATTTTTAAATGATGCAGACGGGTTTATTCCGAGACATGGTGTGCACAAAATTGTGGACTTGCTCTTAAAAAGAATGCCTCAAATTACATGAAAAATTGGAAAGTACTAGACATTGGATATGAAAAAAAGTTGTTTTTTAGAGTCAGCGTTCAATATTTGGCACAAAAATCTCTCTTGTTTTGCAGTGAGGCTGAAGTTCCAGGGGTCATTCCGCCACCGCCAGACATTCAACCCATCATTGACAAGCTGGCAAAGTTTGTGGCCAAGAACGGTATGGACTTTGAGGCTAGCGTGCGGAGCAAGTCGGACCCCCGCTTTGACTTCCTCCTACCCTGGCACAAGTACAACGCCTACTATGTGCAGAAGAAGAACATTTTTGTCAAGGAGATGGGGGGCAAGACGGAGGAGGAGTCTGGGGAGAGCAAGGAGGAGAAGATGAAGAAAGGTTGGTGAAAGTTCAGGAGGGGAGCACTTTTAGTCTGTCTCAAAAACTGGAAAACTCCGAGTCTTATATAGCAGAGGTTTTAGAGATTGTGTCTCCATTAACAGAGGGTTAATTTTAACACTCATTCAGGATGGTTTTGCATTGGCATTTACCAAGTTTTAGCTATTCAAGAGATTTCCACGTTTTCGGTCCTGACAACTTATTTTCACAGTTGCTGGTTGGCATAATTTTGGAGTATCTACATGTAGGTGCCAAAGAACTTTGCTGTAAACATTGTTTGGGGAGGGAATTTGGTCATATGAGTGTTCTCAACTCTACTTTAGTTGCAGTGAGTTTTTCCATCAAACCGAAGATGTCCAAAGAAGAGCGCCCTCTGGAGAGGAAAAGTGCCCTGCCCATCGAGAGCAGCGACTCTGAAGAGGAAGAGGAGAAGCCACCGCCCAGGCTCCCTCCTCCGGAAAGCCTCGTCGACTTCGTTAGGACTGCCATGCCCCCGCAGCTGGCTCGGCCGATCAGAGCTGGACCCGAAGATCGCGACCTTCGAAGGGAGGTCAGAGGGGACGACCCCGAGGTCCAGAGGTTGTGGAGCGATTTCCCTGGCCAGCCGCCTTTTAACCCTGCCTTCCGGGGCCAGCAGTTCCCCGACAGAACTAACTTGCCCCCACATGAGGGACCGTATCAGGAGAGTGCCTATCGGGAACCAGCTTACAGAGAACCGCCCTCTCTTGAATACTCTGAGCATTCGGATCCATCCACGGAGCGGGACGGGGTACGATCGAAGGGGCCACATGACAGAGGACGAATGAGTGAGGAGGAATGGCAAATGAAACAAGGTAAACTACATGTGTGCAAGTCTTGACACTTTTAATCATGTACATATATTTAGTTAAAGATTCAGTTCTCCTTGGCTTCATTAGTTTCATTTAAGAGTTGGAGAAATTCTTCGGAGAAAAGGATACACAGTTGTTAAATTACTATTTCTTTTCCTCAAACCTAAATTGCTTGCCCTTTGTGAAAACATTGACTACTTCACAGATCAATAAATATTTGGAACTGTATTTTATGGTACTCTTCATTATGATATTAAAAAGTTGATATCCCTAAGTAAAATGGATGTCGACCCCAGAATACTGTAAAGGCATATATTGGATCAGGTGACCAGGGAATGGTGAATTAACAGTTGCTTTGGTGCTCTCACGAAAAGTAAAATGTACGGTAAAAAAGTCAGGATCGTAAGAACACAAGACCATCCAAGCCACTATTGATTCCTCATCTGCATCCCTATCATTGAAGAAATCAGAACTCCCTTTTGGCATCTTGAAGTATTCTTCTTGTCGTTTCAAGATGTATTTTTTTTGCGTTGGGGAGATGTTAATTTATATAACGGGTTTTGCCCTGACCCAACGTATATATATAGTTCGCGGTACCCGCTGCTTCACCTGACTCAGACCAGCCAGCTGACCCTGGCAAGCTCGGTGGTCAAGTGGTTAAGACGTCTACATTAGTAAGCAGGAGGTCGTGGGTTCGAGTCCCACCCGAGTAAGCTTGTGACTTTTTTTGCAAGCTCTCAGACAAGCACTGAGCATACACAGTGTTTATTTATACGTTGGGTAAAAACCCGTTATATAAATATTCTTCTTGTGTTTTTTAGTTGGCCAGATACAGATTTATTCAAGTGAGTTGCTTTGGATTTCTTGACAGTATTGTTATATATAAACACAAGTCAAAGCCTCGGTGACTTCAGAAAGTTGTATTCAAAGCTAAAGATAGGAAGGTTATTTTGTTGTGTGTGTTGGAATTGTTAATTTGAATTGAAGCCAAGATGCGGCTCGAAGATCGGCTAGCCTCAGCGGCACGGGAAAAATTGGCATCTGCCTCCAAAGAACGCATCCAGCAGATGGAGCGACGGAAGAAAGCAGCAGTTTTTCTGAGCATGATCAAGGACCGCCCCCAGGCTGGTGCGGCTGCAGAACTAGACAGCATGGAAACAGGTGAGAGTGGGACACTTAGGAAAGTTTTTAGTCAAATTCTAATAAGTACTGTACTTTAACCACAATTCCAAGAATTATAGAGAGTAGCTCGGGCGTCATGACAGTTTTCTGATATAGTGACCCAGAGTGGGGTCAGATTGATTTCTTACAGGTTTTGTGCTAAATCAGTGTTTACAATGCAAACAAAACCAGCAAGAAGGATGATTGTCTTAGCACAGAGCAACCAGAAAGAAAACTTTCGCAAACTGTAAAAAGCAAGTTTGAACCAAAGTCTATTTGTTGACCACTTGTTAATTTTCACAGGTAACGTGTGCTACAGAATTTGCTGTGGGTACCAGGTAAAATTAACCAGTGCTTGACTAACTAACTTGACGAACTTGCCCAGAGCTGTTGCCAGTCCTCATTCCAGAAAGGTCTTGAATTATGCAGTCGGTTTTGTCACATGGGCCCTTGTACTTCTTTTTATAAAGGTTTACAAACAGAGGTTTCCATTGATATGACCTACAAACAATGATATGTCTGGTATGGGATGACAGTCTTGATAAATGTAGTGCAGTTTGTGTTCAGTGTAGGTATACTGAAAAGTTTACTGCGGACTTGGTTGCTCTTTTCAAGACCCCACGTTTAACTGGTGACAGAAAGGCATCATCTTTTCCTCCAAAGAGGACTTACATTGACTTGTTTTTCTGAAAATGTTTGTCAAAGCACCTACTGCAGAACCAAACAACATTCCAATGGAAACGGTCAGTCCAGCCGAGAAGCAACGAAAGACCGACTCGAAAGGGGAACGGAAGAAGCACAAGAAGCACAAGCACCGACACGGGGGCAGCCGCCGTAGCCCCTCCCCGGACAAGAAGCACAAGACCCCACCCAGGTCCTACCAGGATGCCTACCGACTCGCCCGGGAAGGCAACGGCAAGCTGCGATCCAGGTCCACCTCACCAGGGGGCAGGTTGCGACCCGCAATCCCACCAAAGTCTTACCAGACTACCAGAAAGCGGTGAGATGTGCACCAAGCTGGAGTGGTGGGGTTCTTGGTTCCATTCTGAGTTCAACATCTCCTTTTTTTTTGTTCCTAGTTGTAATGGGATGTGTTCTCAGTTTGTAGTCTCTTAACCTAGCATTTAACACTTATTTTAGGAAACTTAAATCAGTTTCTAGCCTACTAGAGCATCAGTTTAGGTTCTCAATTGCAAATGTTCATTATATAGGACCTGTTCTCTTACAGATCCTTTTTTATTCTCGTCAAGTCTATTAAACAGAAAGTTTCTTGTTTTACCATTTATTGTTACTCATGTATACCCCCATTTAATTCTAAGTGGTAGTTTGAAGGACTGTGTTGTTTTTTCCCTTGTATTTTGATCTTGGAACCAGTTTAAGGTTTTAGGTCTTATCCTAATGTAACTTTTAGTATTGGTTTCCATCATTATTGGTTCTAGGTTCCATTCCATTTCTTCTATCAGTTTTTTATCTATGTTTGGGGAGTACTCTGCTTTGGATTGCGAACTGGTCTTTCAAGCCACACCCTCTTGATTGAAAAACTTTCCTCTTAAATGCTTGTTCAGATCACCAAAGCGAAGAAGGAGATCTCGGTCAAGGTCAAACTCTCCTGTCCAACCTCTTCGGACAGACTTAGCACCACGGCGATCCAGTAATCTTGGAGTCACCAGTCTTCCAACCAAGTCACGGTAGGTGTTAGTATCCGTGATCCTCATTTTTTCCTATGACAACAAATTCAGTTTCCATTGGGTAGTACATTTTACAGTTGTGTAATTTCTCATAATTTTCTGAATTTCTTGCGTTTTGACCGCCCAAAGCATAATTTAAGTTTTCGATCAGTCAAGTTATGCCATGTTCAAACGCTCTGACAAAAACCAAACTTAAGGCCACCGTATATATGGCCATTTTTGAGAAATCTCCTGTCTTGTTAAGGCTGGATCATACTTGCCAAATCTCGTTATGCCAGATCAAGTTTTCTTGGTGTGAATTTACCAAAGCTGAATGCATTACAGCTTCAGCGAATTTCACTGCACTTGTTTTGTGATTCACTGCTGTCGACACCACAGGCAAAGACGTCGGCAAGATAGAGAACATGGCCAAAAAGGTGTTATCACCATGGGCGCCATTCGAGTGTCAACGTTAATGTCAGGGGTCCGGGTGTGCGTGCCTGTTGCGGTGTCTTGGCGCCTGCGCCTGTTTCCTTTACATAGCGCATTCACACACACGTATTCACAGTGAAGTTACCCTGTATAATCTTTGGTCACAAGGCCTCTGGTGGATGTTTCGTCACTTTTTTTTTCATCGTCCAATCCCACCCAGGGTTTTTATCCAGTTCCATCTCTCCGTAGAAATGTATCAACATTATCATTAGTTGAGAGTGACCGTTTGGCTTGATTTGTAATCTTTTTTCCTAGGTCACTGTCCCCAGAAAACGGACGAGATGTAACGCACATGTCCGTCACGCCTTTGATCCTGGATGCTGCCCCTCCCCCTCCTGGTGTCCCACCGCCCCCTCCGTCTGCCACAAGTGCAAACCCACTGCGGGATGATGGGTAATGAGCAATTTGTTGTGAGGTTTCACCAGAATTGTGTTGAAGTGAAGTTTATTGACTGTTAAAAAATATGCTATACTTTGTTAAAACTCTTCTCATGGTGAAAAAGACACATTTCAATGAAAAAAGATAGTAAATTGTGTATTTCTACACTAGCAATTTCGAAATATACAGGCATACAACTTTTTCAGAGATCAGCTGTTTCATAGTTTTCACTTCACACTCATGCCTTTTAAAATTGAAAAACACCGTACAAAATCTTGTAAGGATTAGAATTTCCTCTTTTTTTCTCAAAGTCCAAGTTGCATGCCTGAATATAATCTTTATTGGATCAGACTGTTTGATGGACACTTTATTCAAGAAAGTAAAACTAGTTATGGGATAAAGTGCGGTCTCTTTTTTGGCAGTAGAAAGAGATTAAAATCAAAAGATTGTCATCATATGGGCTTTAAAGACAGGATTGTTATAGTCAGAACTTCAACAAGAGGCGAACTTTTTAACTTGTTTGGCCACTGTCAAATTATGTTTAACCACTTCCTGCCGGGCGACCCGTTTTTGAGTACATAGGCTTTATATGCAGAGCAGGGGAGCCCGAAACTGGGACAAAAGAGTTGGGCCTTATAACAAAAGACTGTGCTCAGCACAAAAGACTGAGCTGCTGGGCATTACCGACATTTTTTCGCTCTCAATAGTGGAGATAATCCAGCCTTGTTTTGAAACAGTATACCACGGTTTGAGGCATTTAGAGTGAGCGGATTACCACCGGGGACAAAAGCTCTCCACAACCGCAGTGATGAGCCACGCAGCACCACTGCACGCTAATCTAGCCCCTATTGAAAAGAAGTCAGCAGTGCACTGTGCTGGTTTCGGGAACAAAAGAATCTTACGTAACACCGCACAATCTGGGCTCTTTTTCCAAATATTCAGGAGTCAATGAAGGTCACCTGTCAGCTTTAGAGTAGTGCTCAAAGAGTCCTTCATGTAGGTATAAACTGCCATTCAATGAAATGATGAATTTTTGAAGAATTTTGAAGACGGAAAATCTTGAAAAGGACCCGGTATGTTGTCTTGCTCAGGAAAAATCCACCCGGCAGCAAGTGGTTGACATGCATTTTCATAGTCTGTTTAAAGGATACTTTGGCACATGAGATCTATTGAGGTAGTTAGCTGTATAACTATAAACACCTTGAACTTGATTTCAATATGAATTCGAGCATTCACAGTTGTGAATATTTATTCCTTTGTTTCACGTGTCTTCCTTGTAGCAGTATTTCAAATTTGTCAAGGGACCCTCCAAAAGAGATGTCAGAGGAAAACAGATCTTCAGCGACAGCACCAATGACAGCAGATATGAGCTTTCAAGATGTAAGTGCAGCTGGCTATGTATGGGGGCACACCATCACTTAGCTGTCCACTGTGCTATCCTATCTTTTCAGTGTTTTCAAATGCCAAAATGAAAGCTAATGCTGCTTACCAGAATGTACCAGAAGAAATGAGAAATGTTACTGCTGTATATTGGCTGTTGGTCAATGTAATTTTTTGGGGAAAAAAAACAAACACCCAAAATTAATGTAACTTCTGAGGTAGATTTGTCAGGAATTTCCCCTCAAGATTTTCCTGACTTTATGATTTTCCCAACAATCTGTTTTAATATCTGGAAAATCCTGAGTTTACAATTAAGACGCTTTTACATATAACAGTTGATATAGAACACAAGAAATATGTATTTTAAGGGTTGCCTTTGGGCAAACACAAATGCATTCCATGGGCCGTATGCTGCCGTGTGGGGCACATTCAACTTCTGGTGATTGCCATGGATATTTCACTTTCTTCCAGTCTCACCCCTGACCTTAACTTTAGGTTTTGCATTGATCAGTAAAATGCAGGTGTCACTTGCCTTTGATGTTTGTTTGGCAGTGCATTGCATCCATTGAGAAAGGTTGGCCCATTTGATTAAATGGAGCTTGAATCGGCAGTCTTCCAACAATCATCTCTTTCTGTCTCTCCCCATTTCTCTTGTGTCTCCGTGTCGCAGACGTTCCGGGCCAAAATCCGTGCAATGCTAGCTGCCACCAGAACATTTGAGCCCAGCTAGCAGTTGGAGGGGCAGCCAGCCGACGAGGGTTGTGAAAGGTTAGAAGGTTAGAGGTCAACAGACATGCAGAAGGAAATCTAGGATCAGACTCTCTCAGGAATTCATCCCCAGAATAAATGTGTGTGAATCATCCGAAAAAAATTGAAGTATGGCTAAAATTCTTTTCACTAATACTTTTTTCTTTGCCTTTGTTTCAAAACTATGAAATAGTTTAATTGGCAACAGGTAAAAAGCAAATTTTGTTCGCTGCAAGGGAAAGTTGCATTTTTTTGGCAGAAAGTTTGGTTGAGGTAAATTAGCTGGTAACCGGTGAAAAGCCACTGCTTAAGTGTTCTGTATTTTTCCTGGTAATCAGAATTGAGAATCTTTACCAGAAGTAATGGCTTGCTGCAGGTATTGGGTATTGTAGTTGAAAGGCCATTGTTAGCGGGAGAAATAATTTGTTCACATTTCTATGAAGTCTGATTCATAATGGTAACTATGTTCAGTTTGTAACCTGTGCTTACAACTGGAACTTTTAGAGTGTTTTATTTCTAAACGCAGTATCTGCTTCAACAGTGTGTGCATTAAATGCACTGAAATGATTTTTTCCCAGGGAAAAATCACTGTTACTATTGAGAGTAATAAGCATTAGTCATAAATTTATGTGAACCTGTGGGAAACACCTGCTGTTTTGTTTCTCCAGCAATAGTACAATAAAACTAAATTTACTGCTTTCAGTTGAACGGTTTTTGCTACACTTACATGCTGTTTCTCCTGGAATTTCAACTTATTACATGTATGTGAGAGTTCCAATCTGGCAAGTGCTTTGAAACAAAGACAAGACTGGTTCGAGGAATGCATAGGTGATATTGTCCCACAGTTACTTGAATATTGGTGTTTATATTGAAAAGTTGCTTGTTTTTCAGAAAACTTACACAGTAAAGCCAACTGCAAGATAAATGTTGTACTGTGAAGGAGCTGTGGCACCGGACTTGTGCTCAAGCTTTATAATGTTTACAGTAGTCAGGTCCATTCGATAATCCACTGTTTGTAGTGATTGAATGTATAGGACACAGGCAGTTTTGTCTGTTGCAGAAGGGAAGAACTCAGTTCATCAAGTCTGCAAACTGTTCATAAAATTACAGATCATTCCAATTTTATAAAATTCTTCTGAAGAACTTCTATTAGCATTGAAAGTTTGTGGGCGTGGAATTTTTATTTTCTTTGTAAGTAAAGTTCCTCTTTTATTGCTCTTTGTTTCCTTTTGATATTTTTGTACGCGTCCTCGTGGAGTTGCTCATAGTTTGTTGCTTCCTAAGTAACAACCTCTTTGGGTACTTTTGATCCATTAACCATTTGCTTTTAGGCAAGAATTTGCTTAAAATACTGATCATGGTAACCTCTGGATAATCCTGGAGATAAATGTATTTTTCCAAAATTGCAAATGGAAATAACCTGCTTCAGAAATGGCACATTGATCACAGAATGCAATTACCTGAAGATTGATCTTTTGACCTTTTATCCTCATAGCTGGTTGCTGGGCATGTGACCTTATATTAGCCAATTGTCAAAGTTGGTCAAAGCCTGTGATTCTCATGTCTTTGACTCTAATAGTGCTTTCTGTCTCTTGATGTGAAACACTTGTATTAGGTACGAAGCTGTGCTGTTAACGTTGCAAGTGTCTGAGCATAGAGTCTGAGTGAAGCGAACTCAGAAATCAATGTCATGTCAACTTTGACATTTTTTAAATCACAAAAACATGTTTGTAAATTGATCACAAAGGCATGCCAAAACTGCTCACACAATTCACTTGAAAATTGCCTAGGTTTTTGTCAGAATTTGACAGGTCAATCTTTGGTTGGAAATGGATGGCTTTGTTCATGGTGTCTTTTGGCTTTGAATAATTCTGGAAAAGTTACGGGATTTTCAATTAATTTCAGGCTTGAAAAAGAAAGCGGTCAATTTCTAAACAGTCTTCAAAAAAAAAAAAATCAAAAAGTGTGTGAATGTATCACCTGAATAGTGGCCAGTCCTTTCTTAAATGTTGATTGTGAACAGTGGAAATTCTTAATCAGAAATAACAGATCTGAAGCTTTGAGATCTTTAAAATCATACAAAGTCAAGCTGATTCGTAAATATTCATTGTAGATGTTGCAAAGCAAGAAAAAGCATGATATTTGAAATGACAGATATTAGTTTTTCTTTAAGAATGAAACTTCACGTGTAAAAGAATGCCCAACTGTTGCAGTTGTTGCAATATATGAAAGAGTTTGTTTCGACGGTTTTGAATGAGGAAATTTCCAAAATTGTTTTCATAAACTAGGAAGTTGGAAAACGGGGCAAAAGTTGCTTGAAGTGGATTTGAAAAAAAATGCATGAAAGAGAAAGTTGCATTTTGCAATAAGACAGAAGAGGAAAAGAATTGGTTAGATTTATCCAACAGTCAGTTTATTTCAAGGAAAGTATCCTGAGGAAAAGTAAAAGTTCAGTAGGAGCTTATAAATATTGCATGAAAATGGGAAGAGAACTCATGTTACGGAGTTTGCTATGCCTGTGGAACCTGGAGTTATGACTGCAGGGAATGGACAAGGATTTTATGGATTTTTTTTTTAAAGAATTCTTTGGGGGAGTTATTCTTGTCTGGATACAGTGATTCTTGATTTTTGGGAAATGGGGAGAGAATTCATGGTATGGAGTTTGCTATGCCTGTGGAACCTGGAGTTGTGACTGCAGGGAATTGACAAGGATTTTATGGAATTTTTTTTTTTTTCAGAATTCTTTGGGGAGTTGTTCTTGTCTGGATACAATGATTCTTGATTTTCGGAAATCTGAGGCATTGAGAACATTGTTTGACTAAGGGTTCGATCGAAAGGAGACCTCTGCAGATAAATCGTCTGGCAATTATTTCTCTCTATTAACAATAGCCTATTGCTTGTGACTTGTTATGTTGTTAACCACCATGGTTCCTTTCAGAGAGGCAGATGTAAAGAGAAATGGGAAATGATTGTGATGAGATGGCTGTATTGCCATTGTCTCTCAAAAGTGTATATTCCAAGGAAGTTGCACAAAATAATTTTGCAACTTTCTGTTCCGTGTTTGTCCTGGGTCTGTCCCCGGTGTTTAGGAGGTAGAGATCTTTGAAACAGCTAAGTCAGTTGCTTGTAGCAGAAACAGAAATACCTGTTGCCAGAAAGAAATGTTGCCATAGAGGCGTGATGCAAGACCATGTGCTTCAGCTCAAGAAATTTTCATCATTCTTGAGATAAAGTTGAATCAAAGAAATCAGTCATTTAGTTGTCTTTTTTGGGGTATGTCATGATTTCTTCCGTGTTTTCAGTTAGGCAATAAAGCTTGTATGCATTGGAACGACTTGAAATACTAATGTAAAAGAAAAATGGTGAATGGAAGTTTGGCATTCGTTGGTTATTTTTGAGAAACTTTTGCCTACGGTGACATTGAAGAATCTTAAACCTATGTGCATTTCATCAGTATGTGGTGTGCATATGTACATGTATCCACTTTTTCTGAGTAATTGAAGATAGTGTTTATGGTGTTTGAAATTGTAGGAATGTTCTTTACACTCTGAAATTATTGGATCAATTCTTGAAGGAATCAGACAAATTGCTTCACTGGATTCACTGTGAATTTATTACTGAATACCTTTGTTACGGGACAGATATCTTTGTTTTTAAAGTAGGAAAACTCAGGTTTAAAAACAATAATAAAAAGAACGTGTGTGAAAGAAAATTAAGTATTTTGTCTTGTCTTGTCTTATTTAAATTTGAAAGAAAAGTGAACTCCATTGAAGAATTTTCTCTGGTTATCCCGAGAGATCGATCAAAGTAAAGAAAATTGTACTTGTTGCCTTGGACATGGAAATACCGGGGACATTATGTCATGTATCTGCTTAGCCAGAAAATAATTACTAAGCAAAAACAGCATGAAACTCATCACAAGCAATACACCTGACATTGAGCTGTCTTTTTCCCCCCCTCTGTTCGCGAGTGCACTTGGCGGTTATATGAAATTGGTCAACCTTTACTGTGGATTATTAAACTATGGATGAAAATAGATGAATTGTAAAAAGAGAAGGTAGTGTACATTGTTTTGACAGATTTGTTCTTGTGGCTAAGTACACAGCTGTGGTGAACTGTTAAAATGAAACTGATTGGATGTGAATGGGGCTTTCCTGTAATCTGTCCTGCATATTACACTAAAAAACAGAAGACAGGAGGGTAGGATATGAAGGGCCAGGAGGACTATCCATGGAAGCCAACAATTCTGATATGGCTGTGTTGTTACAACAACTCTCTGCTGGCAAGAGATGAAAGATTCCACCTCGGTGCATAAAAACAGTGTAGAAATCAGTTTCACAAACCTGCCAAGTGCTAGAATTAAACATTCGCTTAACCAAAATTGTTTACCGTCCAAAATGCCTTTTAGTATGTATTTGCTTGTGGCTGGTTCTCTGCCTATTCTTGCTTAGCATGTAAACTTGCTCAGCAAGATTGTCTGCCTAGCAGCTCTGTGACATTTAACTTGGTTACCAGACCAAATATTGTAATGCTTGATGCTTGTCACAAGTCCCTCACCATTTTCGAGCAGTAACTTGGCTATTTTTTTATAGCAATTCTATGAAATCAGACAGGTTGGTTTGGTTTGTGCACGCACTCTGCAGATGGAATATATATATTAAACCAAACTTCGCTTTGTTTAAAAAAAAGTGTCCTTTATTTGTTTATTTTGGCATGCTGTTGGCTGTAGTACATGCACCAACGTCAAGTCCATTATTTTTTGGAAAACCATAGAATTGACTCGTAATTCAAATCTACAGGTTGTTGATGGGAAGGTAATGGGAGTAAAGTTTTACTTACCAATCAGCTACAGGCAACATTGACATGTGCCTTTGCTTTGTGTATGTATGTAATGTCAGAAGTGTAAAATAGGGATTTATTTCACCATGCTCTTACTGTCTGTCATAAACCACCCCCCCCAATCTGCCCATCGATTCTGTCTGGTATGTTGACGGTGAAAACACTCTTTGGAAAGACTGCATCCAGTGAAAACTTAGCCTGAATCTGGCAACAAGTCTGGTGCCCCAAATTAGCAATGATCATCTGAATTGATTTGCTGCATGGGTACACGTTTCGATCAGACTGATGACGAATCTGGTCTACATCTGAAGGCCATTAATTGAAATTATCAGTTACATGTAGTCAGGTGCACGGATCTTATTATAGCATGAAAGTGACATCTCCAATGCACTGATGCTTCAGAGGGTGAGTTTATCATTTAGCCATTGAAGTTTGAGTGGTCTTTGTCCCAAAATATTCTTTGAAATAAACAGTCCTGTTGTATTGAAACACAATGACAAAAGCTCTTAAGACACGTCCAAAACATCCATTTATTTCCATAACAGACTTTGCTTCCTCCATAATATGATTCGGTGAATATATAGACTGCAAAAGCCTAAAACATAAAAAGCAACGGTAAAAAAATGAAAGAACTCAGACGCAGTAACGGAAAACCGTAATTAATGCAAAGTAAAATATATATAAATGAAAAGACACTTAAGTATAAAAATGCATTCAAAAGAAAGGTACACATTCTTACAGTTGCTTGCAACAGAAAAGCTTCCCGACAATATTTTACTTGTGATACTTTTTCTAACCAGTAACTCTGTCTAAGGCCAGTTATTTAGAACAATATGCCTGCATATTGCCTTGTTTTTATTGTGAGGGGGCCTTCTTGTGTATGGAGACATTGAGCCAGAGTTCATCGAAACTCACTGTATGGAAGGATGTAATAACATCCTTACAGCAATAACTATAAGCAGTAAACACAGAAAAAGCATGCCAACCTCAAGTGATATCACAACAGTCCTTGTACAGCCAATATATTAACATCTGTTCATGCGTACCACGGAATATGGTTCAGTCAGGTTAGTACAATCCGTCCACTAGAGGTAACACAACTATTTCTACTGCTAACCACACAAAAGCAACGCTAATAAAACTAGGTCCGGGTTAACAGTTGTCCACCCTCTGCATGGAGCTACATGTACTATAAACAAAATGATGCACACTGTATACACTTCGCTTGCAACAGGAAAGTGCCATTACTAGGTAAGTTGCTTAAAGCTATCTTGTGAGAATCTTTGAAGTCTGGGTTCAAAAGAGTCCAAAGTGTCTCCACCTGAACATTTGAGTGGCCCGTCTCGGAATTTCAAGCTAGAACAAAGTGTACATGTATGCCACCAAAGAGGTATCATTCACCTGATGAATAAATTAATCCACCTGCACTCCACTTCATTTTTTCTGTTAATGTGGCATTACACTCTTCAGAATAAAATACATACCTTAAATAAGAACAAAATATGTACAACCTCAAATAATTATCTATTTACACATAAAATATTCATCACTAACTTAATTAAAAATACCCTTCAGGCTCAAGTACTGCATCAGTTTTTTTTTTTAAATTTTGAAATTCTTACTACCATTTTCAAATGAATATCATCTGTTGGTCACTCAACAGTACACACAGCATGTGCGTAAGCCATGAACATACGGACCTTACATTTTAAATCTACCTTTACTTTTGTTCATGACAATATTTGACCGAAAATTAAGTCAACCCAATTTTTCCTAAATACCGTATCTCTAGCCACTATGCCAAAAAGAGCTGTCAAGCAGGATTGCTTAATGTGTTGCCAAAGCAACAGTAAAGCTGGTCACCAGCCACAAGAAGTGTAACACTGCATGGAATTTTGGTTGGTAACCTGTTTTGCGTGTCTTAACATTTTTTGCTCTGCATGGCACTCCCCTGACCCTGCATTGAAGCTGAACTGTAACGGCCATTGCTGGTAATGAAAACAATAATTCGCTACACACACGGCACACACTATCGACATCTAACAAAAGAAGCAAGGTGCGATAAGTGCACTGTGTTTCTTTTGTTAGATGTTCGCAGTGACATGTATTGCATTTCACGTAATCTTATTTCATAAAGTCGCAGTCAAGTTTAAGCACGGTGATTGTGCCTTCACCTTAACATTTTTGTACATTATTAGCTCTTATGATTATTATGATTCATTTCAGGCCTTTTTAAATCATTACTGTTTTAGACTCATTATTAAAATGTTTTAAGATGGCAAAGATTTTTTTTATTTTTGTAATTACCTTTATTCTACAAATAATGTTTATGACTGAAATGGTAAGAATAATTTCATGAAGTGACTGATGAAATGCTCAGTTCCACGAGGTTCCAATTGAAAACCAAAGATTTCATCTGTCACCTTTCTTACCACTACACGGTTTGTTTTCTACAAACCAGCATAAGTCCTCCTCTGTTAGAAGAACAAATAGGTCCAACCCGCCTATTAATGTCCATCGTTTTGCAAAACAGATTAGTGCCTGACATGAATGAAGCGCTGTCCACTCACTGGTAGTGTCTTGCAATGTTAGACTTGCTTCTGTCCCTACATTATTTTTTTCTTCCTTACTGGGAACGAGATACGTGTCTATGAAAAGGGGTGGAAACTAAGCAGTAAAATGAGATGAAGTTCTATCAAATGTGTTCCACTGAATGGAAAAAATAATTCAATGACACGTGATCAACGATCCACCAATCAGATGACAGGCATTTATGCAGGTATTGTATAATAATTATTACTTTTGTATCTCATTGGAAAACTGTGTTTGGACCGATTCAAAAACATTTAAGGTGAAACTGAATGATTGATCCCCCCCCCCGGAAACTCAGAAAAATGCGTTCAAAGCATACAGTATATGCACATGTACCGTACTTCCATCATTTCAGGCTAATGGTAAAAGTGATGCCTTTTCCACTGCAGAATGAGGACCAGTTAAAGTACATGTACACTGTCCATGTAAGCCTCACCTGTAATGGCAACTACTGTTAATGGCTACGGATATTCACTTCATTGTACCAATGTCAAATCTGAGCCACTGCCTCAAAACAATTAATTGGAACATGGCTTCTTGATCATAAAAATAACCTTAGAGATAAAATGACATTGATTATCTTACAGATTAAAAGATTGACGCACATGTCTAACAATACCTTTCAAGGAAAACATGGAATACTGCATTTTGTAGGTCAACTTAACAATGTTGAATACATTTACTTTACACGATGTATTGACCATTTGAATGGCACAGACATTTTCAAACAAGAATACAACTTAAAGTATCCCATAACTCGTCGGGTGCCAGGAAGAAGGCTGTAAGCACTTATGACCTTTTGCCGGGAAGCATAATCGCTTCAAACAATTTTCCCGGTAAAAGGACGTATTGTATGTATGCAACTGTTTTATTTTAATGAAATATAAAGATTTCTTTGCAAATAGTTCCAAAAGCATTTCCCAAGTCATGTGATAAGTTGTTCAAAGGTTGCTTTTTGCACAGCCTGTGTTGATTTTGTAGTAAATTTTATCCGTTTTTACCAAATAAAGAGAGTGTGTTGCTTACGTCCTTTTACCTGAAAATTTTTTCTACTGTAATCATGCTTCTGGGCAAAAGGGTGTAAGTGCGCTTATGACCTTTTGCTGGGCACACAACGAACTGCGAGCACATCTCTGTGCCAAGGTCAATGAAATATTACTTTGGTATTTCATAAATATTATCTTAATACTGCACTCATACCATGGTAGCTATTCTCACTAGGGGCCATTCAGGTTCAATTTGAGGGCTGAAGGCAAAGGATATTCACTGGACGGTTCACCAAACCTGCTTAACAGGTGAACATGATAACGCATGAGTTTCACTAGAACCTAGTCGCAGGCAAGGCACAGCGCATTACATTTTGATTGACCCGTCAAAAACTTTTGGGTCAAAACTTTTTGGCATTTAGGAAATCTTTGTGCTTAAAGGTTCCCGGGAATTGAGCTTATTTATACCACAGTACATACAATTTTTGAATTTTCTAATTTTTCACATATCTCAACACTTTAAGGAATACACACGATTGGCATAACTTGCACTGTGTAGACAGTTTTGAATCTGCAATGGAAAGGTCTTCATCTCAATTTTCCTCTTCACAATTTCCCAGCTTAACAAAAATGTTTTACATGATGTTGGACAAATAATACTGTTTTGTTTCATTTTTACTGAATACAATGAAAAAGTTTTCTTTTCTGCTGATAAACTTTCTCCGTCCTCTCTAGCACACTACCTCTTGTATAAGGACATGGGGTGTCACTCATACTTATACAAACTCTCCAAGACTTTTCTTTGCGGCGGAAGAAGTCTTGCACCAAAACCCAAAAGTTTGGGTTGTGCCTGCAACAGATCAAGAGGTCATAAGATTTGATTGCGAGGGTCAAATTTAGAATAGGTAAGCTTGGAATGTGAAAGAGCTTCTGCCACAGCTTTGCATACAAGCTCAGACTGTGTCTTAATAAGGCATTACATTTTTCGGCACACATGAATTTCAAAAGAGAATGTCAACAACACCAACAACTGCTTAATGTACATGTAGATATGGCATTTGAATTGCCCGTATCCAAGCTCTGTTCACTTCAACCACAGATTGTGTCAATTTACGAGATGAAAAGCGTACTGTACATGATCATTTACGTGCATGCATGAACCATCATTTGTTAGATCATTCTGCCCCACATTCCTGGTTCCTTCGAAATTCTCCAGGTCGTTTTAGGAGCATTTTGCAGGTCCGAGGAAGAAGAGCTAAGACTATGCATTTGTAGGATTTGATGTGTCTTGGAAACTTGAGGTACATGTACTAAGAATGTGCCATTGATTTCCTACAAAGTAGAAGATTTGGGAAGGTCCATAGCAGAAAAGCCTGGAGAGTTGTGGTTAGAAGTATGAATTCAGTGACCGGGACACCCGGTTGTCCACGTACCACTTGACTGACCCTGCCTCCTGGTACATGACAGTGCCCAGCATGACGCACAGGATGCCCCCAAGGCTGAGCCAGGACACTTGATTGCGGAAGACCACCAGAGAGACAGCCACGTCAAGCACCACGGCTGCATTGCCTAGCACCTGCAGGGCCACCGGCGAGGTGTAGAAGGTGACCAGGAATGTCATCAGGTTGTAGCCCACAGCGCACAGGCAGCTCATGAGGAGCAGGGCCGGGAGACGGAGGGTCACGATGGCCGGCCACCAGGGGATCCCCGAGGCTGTTGCTACCGGAGATGGGGCAGCAGTTGAGGTGGAAAAGGAGGAAGGGGAAAGGGCAGTGGGCTCCAGGAACAGGGTGGCCACTAGGAGCATGGCAGAGCTGGGAATGGACATGTGGTAGAGGAGGCGGATGGAATCGATGCGTTGCTCCTTGAGGAGAACACCTGTGGAGGGAAGAGGTGAAAGACATGGACAGAGACTTGGTAAAAATGAAGAGAAGAGTCTAGGGACAGACATGAGGGAGGAATGAATCAGCATACGCAGTGCTCTTTAAGATTACCAGAGAGGAAAAGGGAAAATGAATGGCCATTGAACTCTAAGAGTTGTCAAAAGTAGGAGCAGGTATGACATGAAATAGAAATTATGCATTTACGCATTAATGCGTCCTCAGAGGGTAATAGTTTTGTAACACTCGGATAGGCTCAAGTAAACCTTTTGTGCATTCACTGTTTAAATTAAAATAACACAGTCCTTGAGACATCATCAAAGATTGTATAGTGCCGTGTAGCAGTACAAGATGGATGACTCGGCCAAAAAGTTGTTATTACCATGGGCCCCATTCGAGTGTGGACGTTAAGGCATAGGCGCCTGTGTATTAACATGCACTGCATAGGCGTAGTCCAACCCAAATGGTGCCCATGCGATAACAACGTTTTACACTTATTCACGGTGAAGTTCCCCATCTTGTGCTGCTACGCAGCACTATAAGATCTTTGGACACCATGGAGACGCTGGCAATGCATAACCTCTGTGGCTGACAAAATGGCAGGGATAATGTGACTGCACTGACCTCCAGTCACAGTGAAAAGACATATTAAGATGAATTTCAGGTCCATGCAGTGCTGAACCCAAGAGCAGGTATAGTTTCTCTAAGGGTAGGAACAGATCTAAACAGCTATATTCAAACCTTGCAATAAACTTTTCAGCGCTCTCAGTATGGTAGCCCCAACTGCTGCTAAAAAGCCATAAACATTGAAGTTGACTTCTCCCGTAATGCACAACATGCTGCCGAAGCACAGAGGCACCATGGACATGTAAACATAGTTATTGACTGGTCGCTGAAAGAGGGCCCTGGAGAGGAGGACAGTCACCAGCGGCGACAAAGCAAAGACCATCTTCAGGAAAGAGATGTAGAGGTGACGGAGGGCAATGTTGCCCAGGGTGACGGCTGAAGTGAAGACCACGCTCAGCACCAGGATCCTGAGGGTCAACCCGGGTGGGAGCTGCAGTCGGGCATTGCCCTCCCCGAAGGCCGCCCCCAAGGGGGTGTAGCGGAGCACCACTGAGCCGAAGAGGCAGGCCGAGAGCATGTGAAGTGTGGTGAGGAACACCGGGTAGCTGAAACGCTCCTCGTTGAAGAGCCACTTGTTGATGTTGCTGAGTCCAATACTGGCCAGGATCCAGCCTGACATGACCAGGTAGGTCATGGTTCGGATGTGGGGCGTGGGCATTCTGATAGTCTAGTTAGATGTTAATTGGTTAACTTAAGCCCAGATCACTCATGCTGTGATTAGTTATGCAATGTGTGCCCTGTGAAAGAAAGGAAAAATAAGAGTCGCCATCATGCACGTTGGCAGGATTTTTTGGGGGGGGAACAAAGCAGTCATCAGCAGAAAACTGATAAACCATTAAAGAAATTTATGAGGTCATTTTTAATTTCTGAGGTGTTTTTAAGCAAATTGGTGAGTTTCTATTTTGGAAAGAGTTCCATGTCAGGACATCATTTAACACCTTGTGTACAAATCCTATGAGACTAGTCTGCAAATTTTAAGTGTTTTCTTAGTAAATACCAGTAGTTTTTAGTAAACATTTCAGTGTTAACCACTTGCCACCGGGATTTCCGATACTGGACACGTGTTGTACGCATGGCCGGGTCTCCGAACTCGGACAAAGGAAACAGGGCCCTGTAACAAAAGACCGTACTACGAAAAAAAGACCAGGCTGCTGGGAATTACCGACTTTTTCACTCTCAAAATGAAGATAATTCAGCCTTGTTTTGAAACCGTATACCAGGCTTTGGGGCATTGAGAGCGAGCGGATTACTACTGGGCACAAAAGCACTCCACCACCGCAGCGATGAGCCACACAGCACTGCTGCACGCTAATCTGGCCCCTATTGAAAAGAGGTCAGCAGCGCACTGTGCCAGGTTCATGAACAAAAGAAAATTACGTAACACCGCACAATCTGGGCTCTTTTTACAAGGCAGCAGGCCTGGCTGAAATACTCTAGCGTCAATGTTGTCTGTCAGATTAGAGTAGAAGCCAGACAGTCGTTCATGTGGGTGTAAGTGTCCAGTAAAAGAAGATAGGAATTTGTAAAGAATTTTGAAAACAGCAAAAAAGGATATTTATCACGCCCCAGCATCATCAACATTGATAACTGCCACCGGTGCGAAGTGGTTAATATGACTTTTTAGGAAACGTTATCACTCTCTGATGGTTAATAACAAACCAGTAGGCCTATTCCCAGAACTGTAAGCCACACTCCGGAGTGTGGCTTACAGTTCCAGGGTAATAGTATACACTACTGCAAGGTAAATTAGTGATGTCCATATATGGAGCTCTTACCCCCATTTGTTACAATTTTTCCCCCTTTTTATTAACCCAGGGAGCTTGTGCCCCCTTGCATGCCATGTCCATACCCACGATCAATAAACATGATAAAGTAGACAATAATTTCTAAATACAGTACATGGGGTTGGCTGATTACAATGTGCTTCCAGATGATCCTGTCAAAAAATCTGAGTTTACTTCCACTTTTTAACCATTCTTCCAGAAATGTGAATAAGACAAAAAGGTGATCAAATGATGGCACTGTAATATGACAGCCTAGTTCTGCCTTTCCAAGCTCCTAGAGGTGGACAAACTCCATACTATTTACTAAATTCTTAGTTTAAGGGATTGATTGAACAAATAATAAACATGTCTGCACGAATCACACTTGACAGCACTGAATACATGTAAATGTATTATCATCATCACTTACCCTTAGAACTGTGGGGTCCGACATCCACTCCTCTCCCTCGCACGTCGGACCCCACAGTTCTGGGGGTAATCATCACTCCGTGAGATGTACTTGACAATCAAATTTTAAAATTTCAACATGATTAAATGATCACGATCAATTTCATACATGTTATAGGAGATGGCAAAGCAAAAATGATAGGAGTCCTAATTCCATGGAGATCATTTACTAGCATGATTAGACATGTTAGACCTGTAAACAGGGCCCAACGAATACTCCTCCATACACCGGAGGAGTATTCGTCGGGCCCTGTTTACGGGTCTAGATCATGATCATCATGATGACGAAAAGTTACTGATCACTGCACCTCGGACTAGTCTATTTCTACCTCCATGATCGTTATCAGGCCTATACCTTTTATATTAGAATTAGCATGGACTGGCTGGAGGTAGGAAAAGCTAGACACAAGTACAGGGAAAATACATGCATCTTTTTTCACATCTTCTTCCTTTTTAATTCTAAGCTGTTCCTTCTTCAGAACTGAACATATTCTTACACTGCATACCTTAAGTGACAGCAGCCCGCGATCAGTCACATTTGACAGTACAAGCATGACAGGCGTGAATCTCATTTCTACTATGTTGATTAAAATTGCGCCCTCAAGAGCTTTGAATATGGGCGCTGGGCACTGATCGCTATAATATCTTCCAGTTCAGTATTAAAATTATTCTTATCCAGTGTGCCCAGAACACAATGAAATGTTTATTTTTTTCAATTTTTTTCCCTAACAAGATCATTCCAATGTATTTTAGGCCTAAAATGAATGCTACAAAGTACAATTTATTATGTCCTCGTACATCATGTCTGCGCCCACTGTGATTGTTTTCGACAAAGTAACGTACATGTACATGTTCGTAAACCTGAAATCAAAGCATTAAAAACGGGCAAATATGACAGAATCAAGCTCCAGCTCTGACGAAGAGGAAAAAGCTAAGCTTAAATCTGCTGCATGGCCATGTTTTTCTCACAGAACCATATTGAAAGGTATTTCTCTACTGTCAAGGGCTAGCCCCATGATTAATCAGATCATGGAGGAAATGTGTTTTATTCCTCTGTGATCAGATCGGGGACCAAACCACAATACGCCAGACTATGCATACGCCGCTCGTTTGTGCAACGATGACGTAATTATTGATCACGGTTCGCAAATGACATCGATCTCTTTATCAGCCCAAAACTTCAAAACCAATTCCTCTGATTGATCAAATTTACAGGAAATATGCTAGGGGCCTACCCAAGATCTAAATGAAACTTTCCTTTCATTTGGTATCTCTAAAAGCGGACTGAGGAGATTTTTTGGTCAAATCTTGCATTGGAATTTGGATGTGTTGAAGTCCAACTGTGCCGATGAAAACGTCGTCGCGAAAAAATGAAGCTTTGCCGAAGTTTACTTTTTGCATGAAAATGTTGCCATTAAAAATCTCCATCAATTCACCCTGGAAAATTTTATGTTTATACAGTGACGGTTTTCCAAAATAGCAATTGGATACAATTTTGCCATAAACTCCAATGGTAATGGCAATGGCAGCCATGTTGGCCGCCGGCATTTCAAATCTCATTATTTTCCCAAAATCGCGCGGGAAAATATTCATCATTATCACATGACCTAGTAAAAATGATGTCATAGAGTACCGAAGTGTGACGTCACTGTGAACCAGAAAGTGCAGTGCAAATGAAATGAATGAAGTATGCGCGCGTGTTGGTTCACGCGCTGATTCACGCGCTTATGCCTTTTACACACTAATTGTGCGCATGATGTATTCTCTTCGGTACTTTATTGCCGCTTTTGTGAGCCAAAATTCCACTGGTATGTTCACTGTTTACGGGGTAAACTATCCACTAGGTTGCTAATACTAATAGCAGAAAACTCGCCTTTTCCTCGTTTGGAGGAAAACTGTTGTCTTTTGTTGCCGTTTTCCCACTCTTAACTAATTTTGGCGTGACTTGTACATTACATGGACTCCTTTGTATTGTTAAGTAATGGAAGCCTGTACGAGAACCTGTCTAGTTTGCACCTAGGCTTCAGCACTTACGAATTTCATTCAGATCTGCGAGAGTACCTGTCGATCTACATGTAAGTAGTCATGAAAACTTACGGCTGTTTCGTGTCGCAGCTAATACGCAATGCCATTGGCTGGTTCTTTGTCCAGTCACGCTGCTTGTGGCAAATCATTGGTAGTGCAGCTGACATTCTGTGACGTGACACGAAAGTGATGAAACAGCCATCAGGTTTGTGCAAGTGGGGCAAAAACAAGGAAAAGGTGAGTTTTCTGCAATTAGCAACCTAGTGGATAAAAAAAAATACATCTTGAAAATAGTGGATAGTTTACCCCGTAAGTAGCGAACATACCGGTGGAATTTAAGCTCATAAAATCAAGCGGATGTTTGGTTATGCCCACGAATATCCCGGATAAAATTTTCAAAAGAAATCCATATAAATTGGGACAGCGCTCCAGTAGATGACGGAGGAGTATACCTCGGGCCCTGTTTACGGGTAACCATGTCTACAGGTTTCTATTAAAGTTCAGGCTTGCGAGAGTGCCTAAGGGTGCTTTTGCAGAATGATTAGGCCCATAATAAAAATAATAATGAAGTTGGTTTGATGTTTCCTGATGGATGCCTTGCTAACTCTATGATTCAAATTCAGACATGGATGGTAGGCCTATGGGCTATGCTAGTCCGAGTAACTTCACTGAATTTGGACCGTACAAATCGCCTTTTTTATCATTTGGACATGGTCGAGCGATAGGAGAGTCCAAGTACCTTCCATAGGCATTTGCTTCCATTAATTCATTGCACTCAAAATAGCTTCTACTCTGAATTCACCTCCAAACCGATCCTTAAACTGTCTAATGCGCCCGGCTATGGACCAAGTGAGAATCAGAGATTCCAGTAATGATGGTTTACTCACATTTGGGAAGAAAAGAGAAATTTCCCCTTCAAATCAGAAACTTGTCTTGTCGTCAGCTCAGTGTCGCCATCTTGTTCAAATCATGTTCATCACAGGCTCCATACATGTATGTCCAAAACATAATACCTTCATTTGAAAATGTACAGAAGTCATATTTTCATGGTGGGATAGCTGATGATATCCGATAGCAGAGGGGATTTTGGCTTTAAAAAAAATCACCGCGATGATCACTTAAAGGAGCGACAAATGCAACATTATGCAGAACGCACACACGCTGCTGTTGGGAACCGCGATGGGTGAAAAACAATCGTCACCGATCTTAATTTACAGCGGTGATTCTGTAAACAAAATTGTTTTTTTGCAAGATCTTCAAGTAAGCTATTTCAGAGAAGCATGAATAGAGTTCCGAGCAATTTTGTCCTTCTGAAAATGACGCCAATTTTTTCTGAATTGTGGAACTGGCTAAATTGCAGAACTGAACAATCAACTGTCCAGCTCTGTCATTGTGCTTGTGTGTGGAACTAAAGGAGTTGAATCTGTCTGGGCAGGCCTCCACCACGTTAGTTAGGGGACAGTTTCTTTCGCTATGTAAATTAGGACCAAGTTGTCAGGTCATTCTCGGAAAGGGTTTCATAAGCAGACATCATTTGACCAGGTCGGGGACCAAACCACAGTCTAATGATGTCGCTAGTTTCTGCTCCTGTCACTTGTTCAGGAAGTGATGTTGTCATTTTTATCATGTCACATGAAAATGATATCATTTTTCTTGTGAGATTTTGGGAAAATAACAACACAACTATGGCGGCAGCCAGCCGTTAGTGTTAGGGTCTATGGCCAAACTACACGTAATTTGGAAATTTTTAATGGCAACATATTCATGCATAAAGTAAGCCTCAGTAAAACTTTACTTTTTTCACATTAACTTTTCCATCAGCGGAACCCTCCTACCCACAAATACAATACAAATTCAACACCTCTGGTGCAAGATTCAACCAAAAAATCTCCTTGATCCACTCTTAACTCTTCAAGATTCCAAATAAAAGAAAAGTTTAATTGATATCCTGGATAGCATGTTTCCAGTAAATTTGAGCAATCGTTGCTTTTGTATCATAGTTTTCGGCCAATAAAGAGATCAATGTCATAAGCAAACCATGATCTAAAAAAAGCTCAGAAATTACATCATCGTTGTACAGTCAAGCGGCACATGTATGCATGGTCTAGCGTTGTCGCTAGATTGTGGTTGGGTCCCTGACCTGTTGACAAGCTGTGCGCAAACCCCATGAAAAAGGCCTGAAAAACTCTGGACATGTAGGCTATTTTCAGAGTAATTGCTTCAATATTTTCCCCTTGCTAAATTTGACATTTTAGGACGTGTTATCTATTTCTAATGGCTGGTGATGTCCATTTACGGTACACTTATCCATTTCTCCCCCACAAAATAGGTGAAATAACGTACCTTGTCGTGCAAACTCCCAAACAGTCCACCAGGAACTGAACTGGGAGTCCATTCCAACAACTACATATGTGCATGTTTCCTGGTGTGTGTGTGTGTGCTTGGGCCTGCGCAAACCTTAACCAGTTAACGTTGGTTTATCTTGCCAGAGAAAGCTGCTGGGGGCAGGTTTTTTTCCTGCAAATTCTTCGAAATTGAAATTTATTTATCATGCAACCCATCATGACGCATTAACGCAACTAGATGAAATAAGAAGTCTTAAACGAACGTACATGTCTTCCGTGGAACAAATAAGGAAAACTCTGTATGTTTACACATCATCTAGTGTCAAGTGGTTAAATTTGCCCACCTGGTGTGGCCTCAGATAGCAACAGATATCCACATGATACAGAAGGGAAGGATGTTCTGTGGACCTGCCCACGTCCACAGGACTTTTCCCCTTCTCTGAAAAATTTGTTATTCATGGGATGAAAAAAATTCGTTCAAAGTTACAATTCATATAAAAGTGAAACGTCCTGCAGTTTAATGTACATTGACCATGGGATTGATTTTAAAATAAGAATGCTAATCTTACTGTGGGGGGAGAGAAAAATTGATTTAAAATCCCCATATTTGGTCTAGATAAAGATGGCACATTCCCATAATATTTAATAAAAGTGATCACATTTGCTTTTTCTATGCAGGGAGAAACCTTGATACTGAACTGAAGCCAAAGAAGAAGAGTTTGAGGTAGATTTTCCATTTTTCAATTTTCATTATTTGTAACGTCAACCGGGATATCGTATAAATAATGCCGTGTCAGTGAAACCTGATGAAATCGCGAAAAAAGGAGAAAATACTTTAGAAAGTCTGAAAAAAAGTTATTCAAGGGTTAATAATGGACTTATACATCTTTTATGACTGTCTTCCTCTGAAGAATCCTGGAGGATTTTAAAGATCAGGGAGATTACAGAAATGTGGATGCAACAGCAGAGCAGAAAGCGTTTATTGCCAAGAAGCTAACTTCATGGCTTGACAGGTAATACATTTTTTATTGCACTCTTTTCTATTGAGTGGTAAAATAGTACGTCGGAAGTGCCTACCCTCTGTTACAAGATACCCAATTGCCCTCTTATTCTGAATAGATGCAGCTTCTGAGGGGATGGTTGACAGCTTTCAGTGAATTTCTATTTATTGCGTTCTCTGATTTTTTTCTCTTATTATGCGTTTCCTTTTGAGGGATTTTCTGACTGACAGTTGAGTTGCCAGAAATCTTGGTACATGTTCTTTTGAACTGTCTCCAATTGTCTTTCAATGAATGGTTGGGGAGGTACTATCTAATAAAAGTGCCTTTTATTCTTCTAGTTCGATCTCAGTTGTTGATGGACAGACATCACAAAGCCTGACTTCAGTAGCTATGGTAGATGATTCTGATACGTGTAAGTAGACTTGGGCCTTTGGGTTAATGAGAAGTTCTTTACAAACAAAAGTTGATTTGAGAAGCTTAACCCCTTCGCGTCGGGACGCGGCTAGAAATGCCGTAAAAATTGAGATCCTCAGCCCGCTTTTCAGCTATTATTCTCGGCCCACACTCGAGCAAACACGGTGAAAGAAGGCAGACCCTGGCTCTTGTATATATGGTGATTGGCCGTTGTGTATAGCCAAGAAATGAAAAGACCAAATTTGCATCATAATCACCAGCTTCACAATAGTCCCCACTTTGAAAAAAGGCAACGGGAATGTGGAAGCGTGAGTAGAGCCGCATGCCAGCGAACAAATCAGCCTTTTCACTGTGTTTTCAGCAAGGAGAAACATTGAATGCTGGCATTTGTTGGCAATATGTTCTGTTTTTACTTTTGAGATCAACACTGAGGCCAGGGATGTTGTTTTGGATCTCATTGTTTTGGAAAGCTTAGTCACCTCTGTCATCAGTTGGCAAATATACATTTACAAGCATTGGGCATAATCCCAAGCAGTGGGTGAGAACAAACTTGTACTTAGCACGAATAGTAAGCAGCTCCAAAAAAATATGCACGCAGCGGGAACTTTGGCTGTTGATTGAAATTCACCAGCAGGAGCCTTGAGATTGGCTGTAACTGTTTCATCAGTGAATAATGTGTGCATTTATTTCATGTGCCGGTGTTGGATTCAGATGACTTCCAGCTCTTCTCAACCTCCGAGCCGGGACCCCCAGTGGAGGCAGCCCAGCCTGAGAGGAGGAAACAGCGCCCTCTACAGAGCAGCAGCGACAGGTGAGCTACACTGGTCAAACGGTCCATCAGAGACCGGAAAAGATGCTTTACAGTAATTAATACTGATAGAGTTGATGATGATAAGACTCAAAACACTCGGTAATATCTTCAGTCAGGTTTTTCTCCTTTGTTGTTCTTTTTGCTTCCAATTTTTCAGATGGTGTTGTTGAAATGTGGTTGAAAAGGGTAGCTGAAACACAAATCTGAACTGAGCACAGAGTGACATTTTGTCCATTTCACAGATGGTCATCTTCAACAGAAACATGAAATTAAGATGATTATTTTCCAATTAATTCAATTCTTGGGCTTCGCATTCATCTTTCAAGAGGTTTGGTAATGAATGTATTCCTGTTTCCTTTTGTTTTCATTTGAATGTTCTGTTTCAGTGACTCTGATGGAGAAAGAGCAAAACTGTCATCAGCTGCCGTCTCTTATGATCAAATCCTGCAGAGCAGCCAGCTGCCAGCACCTCAAGACCAACAGGTGACCTCTAACCTTTCACCTACTAACAACCATTCAACTCTGACCTCTGCCAAATCCTCAATGTCAATCCCTCGCAACCCACCATGTGATGTAGAGTCTAAAAAGCGGAAGAGACTTCGAGAAAGTGACGGGGAAAAATCTGAAGTGCAGGATCGTTGCCGTGGTGACAAGAAGAAAAAGAAGAAAAGGAAAAAGAGGACTACAGTTGGTGATGGCAAGAATTTGGAAACTTTGAATAAATCCCACTTGCCAGAGGGAAACAAAACCTGCCAAACGGGAGCACAGAGTTTTGTTAAAGAACAACCGAAAGATTCCATGAGCGGAAATGGATTACCATCTGATCAATCTGAAGAGAAAAGAAAGAGGAAAAAAAAGAAGAAGAAGCTTGGAGATGGCCCGAAGGCTCATCAGACATTGCACACAAGTCATTCTGAAATGTCCTCCAGGTGACAGTACAAGTTGTCAAGTAGTTTTCTGTGACTGAGAAACATGGCACGTTCACTCCCGGGTCATGTCTAGGAAGACAACAACTGTGATTTCATTTGCTATTTGTAAAGATTGGTCGAATTTACTCATTTTGAAATTTTGTTTTTATCCCACTAAACCTGCTGTCGCTTTTACATTTCAAGCAGTGAAGATGGGCAACACTTAAGAAGAAAAATGAACAATGTCCACACTCTTTAAGGTTTTTCATCACACTTTTAATTTCAAGGGAAATGCTTAGCTCAATAAATATATGTACAGAAAACAAAACAACATTTGCATAAACAATTTTGATTTTTTTTTACATTGAATAATAAACCAGAGGTACATATTGTCTTTTATAAAATAAGCATATAGAAATCACAGGTAATTTTCACAAAAAAATAAGAATCACAATAAATTATACCTTTGGCAAAATATCAGAAGCAGTATTTCAATTTTGTAACAAAGCAATTATTTATTCAAATTATACAACTTTGTGGCTAAACTTATTATTTGAATTACAGATCAGTGAAATCAATTTTGCAATGAATTCCCCCTTAGGTAGTCTTTAGATAGGTCCAACCTCATGAAGGTTTCGAGTAGAAGATTTTGCTTTATAGCAGAATTAATTAGGAAGCAAAAATAAGCTTGGAACCAGTCACACGTAAATGCTAAATTACATTTTATAATTGTAAATAGGGAGATTGTTATAGAAACCACACATAAAATTCTTCTTCATTTGGTTCCTTTTATGTTCCAGAACATTACTAAAAACAATATTCCGAAGCTTTCAACCATTGACTGGAAATAGTTATAGCCTATAAAATGTCTACTTTGTTACTGGGTTGAAAAATTACTTACTGGTTGGAAAATCCCATTCCATTGAATGATTTTTAGAATAATTAATCCACGGACTTGATACGCCATAAATGTCCATGTCAAAGCCCCTGAATCAACCTGGTTGTGACTTTCCATTGCTGAATATTCAGAGGGCCGATTAAAAACAGCCCCAGTAACTTTGCCCAAGTTGAAAAGGGCCAGCCAAGCGAGGGAACATTTCATCTTACTCTTCAAACCTGGCAACACTGGCTACCCAGATTGTTCCGCTGTGATTCACTTAGTAAGAATGCCTGAGTCATACTCACTGGTGTCACTACGTGCTGTCCACATGAAGGGGACTCTGTTTGGACTGCGGACCCTGAAATTTTGAAATGTACACGATGTGTGTACAAGTCTTTGTCAAAGTCAACTCATTTCAAGGCCGACCCTGTCTACGACCTTGTTTTTCAGAGTTGCTCATTTTGAAAGGCACTTAACTTAGGTACTTAACTTTGATCCTGGCATTTTGTGCCAGTTTGACTCCATATTTAGGCACAGGCATTAAGTTACGAAGGCTTGATAGTTTTAGGGCTCGACAATTTCCAATGTAATTGAACCTAAAGGTACTTTGGACAAAGTACTTTGGGGCAAAATTCTTACTTTTATAAGTGTTTATGGTAATTACAACTGACAAAAGCAAATTTTTGCAGACAATCAAGAGGGAGGTTTGTTGTTTCTGCTGGTACCTTGATTTCATGGCGCATTCAGTTGGAACATTTAGAAATAATGCTGGAGCTGTGTTCAATGGTTCATTTTTCATCAATCTGCACCACAAGTTGTTGAAAAAAAAAGCAGAAAAGCCAGAAAAGTGGAAAATAAAAGATACTACTTCAGGATAAAATCCTATGACAAATAAGATACCTCGTACCAGATGGGCCAGTCTTTAATTAATGTTACAGTTATGAGGTGCTGTGCACAGCTAATGTCTGAAAGACATTACTGTTTGAGGAGTTGTTTACTGTGATTTGTCTCATTATCCCTTGAAAATGTCTGAAACATCTGTTTCAAACATCCGAGAATATACTTCAGCTTTGTTCTTGTCCAGGGTGTTATCTAATACATATCACATAAAATGAGCGGTGTAATATAATTATATTTCAGTTGTGCATAATTTGCCTGGATTATGCTGGCATTTTGCCATTTCAGTGGGAGCCCTAAATTTTGTAGTAGTAAAAGTTGTCGTTGCCAAGAGATTGGTAGATCTTCAGGAGCTTGCTAGTTTGGGCCTACTATATATGCAAAGAGATGACAAAGTAAGGGTAGTTTTAGCATTTCATAACACCCTGTAAGTGAATAACTTGGATAGCAAACGTCAGAGCATTTGATGTGGCTATACATTAAGTTGGACATAAGTAATTTGCCCTAAAAAGATGACCTCTAAGAGGATCTGTCATAAAAACAGGAACTATCATTATAAAAAGTCGCCTTTTTGAAAAGGTGTATGTTTAAAATATTAATGTAGGGTCAGTCATGGAGGACGGACACAAAAGGAGTTACAACTCTGGCACATCATATTGCCGATGATCATCGCTGCCTGGTCAGACGAACATCAGTAAACATTCTGAAAATGCCTGATTACTGCCTGCAGCTTAGTTGGCCAAATGGGGCCAGTAATATCGTAGCAATATTTGTGGTGTTTTCTTTGCAATTAACTACAACTTACTGCAGTGACCAGGAAATAGAAAAATATTTAACATTAGATTTACTTTTGCCGTCATGAATTTTTTTTTTTTAGATCTTTATGCCCTTTTCCACTATCCGTGCATTGTTTATAATTTTATTTTGTCATTTCAAAACATCAGTTTTCAAAGTCTTTCTACAAATGTGGCTAAGACTGGCCATCAACATGTTGACCACCACAGGACCGTTAAGTTCACGAAAAAAATGCGCTGTTTCATCACAAGGAGTGATCATGAGATCTCATAAAATACCTTTTGGTGTAAATTCTGTAATAGAAATGATTCAAATAAAACACAAAATAACAACTTGGCTATTTATTCCCAAAATAAATCCAGAAGAAAACGTTCGATAAGGGCAGTAACTGCGCATGAACACTTCGGGTACACAGCCTAAGAAAAGCAACTATGCAAGCATTAAATTTGATGTTGTTTTCAGATTATACCAAGCACCAATGATGGCATGAATATTCAACTTGCTATACTACAGTACGCTACATTTTAAGGATGCAGATTACCAGCGAAAAATCGCGGCAATGATCATGGGGTACAAAGGGGGTTGTGGTTGTGAAACAGGTGGTGCATAGCGAGCATTCGCTGCACTCTGGCTATGGACATACCGGGCATGCCAGGAAGCAGGAATTGGCCAGATGTTAGAGCCCAGGCAGTTCAAACTCCTTCTTTATCCTTCCTCCATGGATCAATGAAGGTAAAACCAGCAAAGGCCCCAAACACATCCAGAAACACTTTTGAAGATGCCCAGTGTTGAGAAGCTTTGATCTTGGCATTTCGTGCCAGTTTGATTTCATGTTGAGGCACAGACATTTGATTTTGAGGGCTTAATAGTTAAAGGGTCGAACAATTTCCAGTGTAATTTACACCTTAGTGACTTTGGAATATGTTTCTTTATCCTGCAAAGCACTGACAGTGTATTTTTATTAGTGTTTATAGTAATGAGAACTGACAAAAGGAAAATCTTTTATAGCAATATTTGCTGACAATCAAGAGGAAGGTTTGTTGTTTGTGCTGGTACCCATTGACTTCATGGTGCATTCAGTTGGAACATTGAGAAAATATGACAGAACTGTGTTCAATACATGTAGTTCATTTTTCATCAGTCTGAACCACAAGTTGGTGAAAAAAAACAAAAGCTAGAAACGTAAAAAATAAAAGATACTACTTCAGGATAAAGTCCTATGACAAATAAGATACCTCGTGTCTCATGGGCCAGTCTTTAATGTTACAGTTATGAGGTGCTGTGCACAGTTAATGTCTGAAAGACGTTACTGTTTGAGGAGTTGTTTACTGTGATTTGTCTCATTATCCCTTGAAAATGACTGAAACATCTGTTTCAAACATCCGAGAATATACATCAGCTTTATTCTTGTCCGGGGTGTTATCTAATACATATCACATAAAATGAGCGGTGTAATATTTTTATATTTCAGTTGTGCATAATTTGCTTGGATTATGCTTGCATTTTGCCATTTCAGTGGGAGCCCTAAATTTTGTAGTAGTAAAAGTTGTCGTTGCCAAGAGATTGGTAGATCTTCAGGAGCTTGCTAGTTTGGGCCTACTGTATATGCAAAGAGATGACGAAGTAAGGAACATTTTATGCATAGATAGAGCAGTTTAAGCATTTTGTGAAGCTCCTTAGTGATTTGTAAATGAAGAACTTTGATGCCAAATGTCAGAGCATTTGATGTGGCTATATACATGTATTAAGTCACACAGAAAGTAATTTGCCCTAAAAAGATGCCCTCGTGAAGGATCTGTCATAATAACAGGAACTATCATAATAACAGTCGCCTCTTTGAAAAGGTGCACATGTAGCCTTAAAAGATTAATGTAGGGTAAATTAAGGCAAACCCAGCAAACACATCCAGAAATAAGTTTGAAGATGTCCAGTGTTGAGTAACTTTGATCTTAGCATTTCTCATCCATTTTGACTTCATCTTTAGACACAGGCATTTAATTTTCAGGGTTTGATACATTTAGTTTATTAAAGGCTGAATGATTTCTAGTTTAGTTTACCCCTTACTGACTTGGGAATATGTTTCTTTGTCCTGCAAAGCACTGACAGTGTATTTTTTATTAATGTTTACAGTAATGAAAACTGACAAAAGGAAAATCATTTACAGCAATATTTGCAAATGGTCAAGAGGAAGGTTTGTTGTTTGTGCTGGTACCTATTGATTTCATGTTGCATTCAGTTGGAACATTTAGGCAAGAGGCTTTCATAAGATAGTGCTCAGATCTGCCCACCTTTAGAATTCAGAACTGGGGAAAAAAATAAAATAATTGTCCTTGGTTAAATGAAGTAATACACCTTTTAATATCATTGATTCACAGTAGTGTGTCTCCAGGAGTTTGTAATGCATTGGCCAATCACAACGTATGAAATCTGTCGACCTTTTCCAAACGCCCATTGGGTTGACAGATTTCGCATGATTGACCAACGAGTTGCAAACTCTTAGAGGTGCACTATTGTGAATTGCCCATATTTATACCAGGAAAGATCAAATTATTTTAAAGAAGCCAATGAGAAAAATTGTTTCAAGGTTAACCTAATTACATTATAATAGTTATCCAGGTATTGGTAGCTTATTACATAGGTTTTTTTTTTTGCCTAGTTGGATTCATAATGCAATACTTAAAAATGTTTTTCATCCCAATCAGATTTAGACGAAATGTGCAATATGTGGACACGGATTAAAGACATTAGTGACATCAGCGGTCATTGCTGTAAAAACAAATGTACATGTTTTCATGCCTTACTTGTAACACTTCATGAACGCGTCGTGATGTCAATAATTTAAGGCGAAACATGTTGTAATGTTTATTATTTAAACAGAGTCGGGATGATGTGTAAATATAATTTGGACACAAAGATACATTTGGATGTTGATTACCTGACACAAAAACACTTCTATCGGGTGGCAGCCTTTTCTGATCACCAAAACACGTTTATTTCTACAGAACTGTTTAATTTTATATAGTTACATGTTTCCAATTAACACGAAGACGCCTTCTGAATTGACGTTGGTTTTTACAGTGCTGTATGGATGTTCCTAGACTGGTTATGTTGTTATTGTTTCAAACATGCCTATCATACACTTTATGGATAGCATTCTTCAAAGTGCCCAGAGTTGGAGATGGATGGGATGATGGGTGGGGGCGGAGTCAGAGTTGGATGGGATGATGGGGCAGAGTTGGAGATGGATGGGATGATGGGTGGGGGCGGAGTCGGAGTTGG